TTTGCTACTTTGTCAAGTAGAAAGAAGTTAATATTATAATAAAAATTTGATGCTTATAGCGAGAAATTACAAGTTCTCAAATGTTGTTATCATGATTCTCGGCAAATAGATAACACTGATATATAAGTCTTCCTATAGTAATAAGGAACAATAATAAGAAATTCTAATAGTTTTACTCGATAAAGGGGCTCGTAGTGTAAAAATATTTAAAAAACTGAAGCGCAGGTGAGAGTCACTGTTTTAAGACTCTCCAAAGAAAAGAGTAAATCCATAAGCTGTCCTGGTACTAACTGAATTATGGCTAAGAGTGAACCATAAAAAAGTGTGCAAGGTCGTGCGGCCCTTTGGTACTATGAAGTCGCTCGACCACTTCTGCACACACTTATAATTGGAGATTCTTTCGGGATAGAACCAAATTCTATAAATAGTTATGCTTTTTGGTACCCAGTCCGGCTGTCGACGCGATCCCTTCAGTCTCCTCGTCTTCCTCGACGATTGTTTCGCTATTCAAGAGAATCGAAAGGATACAGAAAGATAGATGTATCCATCTATTTGCGAAAAATATTTATAAAATTATCGCAAATTTTTGCAAATTAGCATATGATGAATTATGTAAAATACAATGACATTATTGACCTTTCTTCGAATTTATATAAAAGGTATTGCTTCGAAAGCTGTCGTCGGTCTATTGCCTGTTTATCTGGAATTCATCCCTTATCGCGGAGATAATTTTCATATATTTGGAGCATCTCACGCTCCCTCGAAATCCAATCGCGAAATGCCGCATGAGGACCACTGTCCTAGAGGTATCAAAATGGAGGAACGAACGCCGTCGAAGCCTTCGGGGCAGTATGGCTCCTTCGATCGTCTCGGTCCGAGGCTGTTCGCGAGCTAAAACCGAGAGTTCCGTACACATAGAAAAAAGGAGAGGAAACGAGACGCGCACGGAGCAGAGATGAAGAGGGTACCGGTAAGAGCAACGAGAGGAAGAGGGATTCTCGGACGGGAAAAAGACGAGAAGAGATGCGAGCGAGGGAAGGAAAGAAGAGGGCCTTACATAGCGATTGCTGGCAGGGCCTGAAATAGACCTCGGCAAGAATCCCCCTGTGGCATCCTCCCTCTCGACTCTCCTGCTCCAGCCGCCTTCCTCTCTTCTTCCTCTTGGTCGCCGCTGACCGCCGTTGGCCGTCGCTGGCCGCCGTGCCGCGCCGCGGCGTACCCCCGTCTTCGCTTTTGTTTTAGCAAAAAAAGACCAAGTCCCTTGGCGCGGCTGTGAGAAGTTGTTCCTAGCGTCTCCCTCGCATGGAGCGGATCAAGCGAAAGGGGGGAGGAAGAAGGAGGAGAAGAAGACGAAGAAGAAGAAGAAGAAGAAGAAGAAGAAGAAGAAGACGACGACGACGACGACGACGACGACGAAGAAGAAGAAGAAAACGAAGTGAGAGAGAAAAGTAATGGTAAGGGAGAACGAAAGGACGAGGAGACAACGACAACGACGGTGATGCGATGGTGGTGGTGCCGCTGGAGAATCGCTTGTTTATCCAGCACACCGAGCTTCTGCTTTCGTCTCACCCACCACCACACAGAGAAGAGAACCCCGTAAGCATCGCCGGACCTAAGTGCACTCGAGCGGACGCGATGCATTCCCACGGGAATACCACGATGGGAACCCAACCTGTTAAACTGACCTACACCAAGATACCGGCGGAACGTGACTTGCGCCGCGAGGTACAAACCCGGGCATTCACGGTGTGCGCTTGATTTGCACAGAAATCTGAACAAGTTCCCTGCAGCCGAATATCCTATTTCTCTTAGGCGAGACCGCGAGGGCTAAAACTGATTAATTTTATCACGATGCTTCATCTTGATATTAAAGAAAGATGCATCACGGTATATAATACGAATGCGAAATCGATGAATCTTCCTTGGTCGACAGAGGACGTCTCTCGTAAAAACATTCTCTTCCCGTTGATAAGATCCGCATCGCGTCCTGCATCAAACACATTTAATGAAGTAGCCACGATGCAGCAACCGCGAAACGCTTCTCGGGCCGCGCGCCACTCCGGCCGATTCATCTGCATTCCTGAATCGTGGTCCACGAAGAAAACCGTCACGGCGCCCTATCCTGTCATTAAGCTCGCGGCACGGCATCCTCCCGTGCAAGAGCTGCAACAAGCGGACGTTGCGCGGAGCCGGAGAGAGAAAGAGACGGAGACATAAATAGAGAGACGATTTCCGTTGTGCGGTAGGTCTTGGATGTCACGCGAGGTCCTTTTTGCTCACGATCGCCCGCACAGCATGATGCCGCGTAACAGAAATAACACGTCGCGTATCTGATCATTGATCCGGCGATTCCGCCACCAGGCAGAATCTCCACGAGAGAGATAATGCCGTATACGGACGGCAGCAAGAGGGGTAAGATACGAGGGGGATAGATGAGAGACGTTTTCTGGGACGTAGAGACACGTCGGTTCCTCATCACGTACCGGTTCCGATATTGTGATCGAACAACTTAGTGAGCCAATATTCGCTCGCGATATATCTCAAGAGCAAGTGGATCGATCTCCCGAACCAGACGGGAACACATGGTCAGAAATGAAGCCTACCTTGAGACCCGAGCCTTTTTGCGACCCGCGTTATCGATGTAAACCTGCGCCGATATATTCGATACCGGCAATATAGTTTCATTAGTTTAACATACGAAATGTTTACTCTATCAATAATGTACTCTTGAGAAATATTTTTCTGTACAGCGGAACAAATAAAGACATACATTTAAATAATTTCGTCAAATATTTAAAAGTTTTTCGAACGACGATGTTTCGAAGAACAAGAAATATGTAAACACGAATAATACTTTTCTATATCAGATGGCCGACGCGACGCGTCAAAATAAACTTGAGATTTCCAATAACAAATCTTAATATCATGAGAGGCTTCTTCATAGAGAAATTATCGTCGATGGGACACACTATAAAGATTTGGCGACAATGATAAAATGGTATTTCAACTACTGAAAAAAATACGTGATGACGCGGTGGTCCCGATAAAACGTCGGCGTTTCGCGCGCATCAAGATTGCGGAATAGCTCAAGACGACAGTTCGCAAAAATATGCTTCTCTCCTAATCGATCGACGAAACGCAAATGAAACTTATGACAGACGAGAAATGCGATAACTCGTTAATACGCCTCGTCCGCGGGGAACGGGGTGACGCGTCCCACGATACAATCTCGTATCATTAATCACGCGAAAGCTTAATTGAGACGCGCCCGGTAGTCCTCGCACGCGCCGCGCCGCGATATCTGCGATGCGAGCATACGTGCGAGCGTGCCTGCGTGCGTGTGATCGCTCACGAGTCGGTGAGCCAGAATTCCATCGAGTCTTGACGATGACGATGCGCTTCGAGAGAAGTCGAGCGCAGAGGAAGGAGCGCCGCGTCCGCACTGCCCGCGCCGCAAGAACAAGACGGCGCCAAAGGACGCGAAGAAAGCGAGCAGTTGAAACTCTCGATGCTCGCATCCATCACCGTTTTCTTCACGGCGATTAAGCATGCGCGATCACTCGCTTTGATTCCGTCGAGCGAGGTTCACGCGTATTATTAGATAGACCGATATTTCGGATGAACGCTTGGATGAGACTTCATCACATAGGTATTAATAATCGAGTCCGTTTATTTCGTTCGCACAAAACGCCAGCTATCCCAGATATCCAGGTATCAATGTTCACGAGCCGACCTTCCACAGATCGAAGGTATAATTTACAGATTTCTCCTTCTCGAAGGCAGGCGATTTGTTGCAATTAGCGTTGGATTTGAACGGCACGATCGTGCGTGTCGTTTCGCTGACGAATGAAGTGAGGCGGATTTTTAGGGATAGATGATATCGGAGCGTACGGGAGGATGCCTCCGAGGAGGCGTTCAGAAATGAAGTCTGCCTTGAAACCGGCGTCTTTTTGCTGCGTTCGCCGTCGATACAAATCCACGGAGAACCGTGAAGACTGCGGCAAAGTAAAATTCCGTACCGCGAGCGAAAGAAGCGATGGATGGCGTTATACGACGAAAGAGGATTTACAGTGTCGGGAACAAAGTAAACGCCCGCGCGCGCGAGTGCATAGATGTTATTAATGGGATTAACGTAAACGCTACGTTGATCGATACGGGGATAACAACGTTCTTGCTATTACTCGTCCCCTCCATTATTTCACGTCCGCGCGATATACCGCTTACAAATGGATTATACCTCTTCGCCGAGCAAACATTATTCATACGACGCTTTGCTAGTTAATATAATTAACCCGACGTAATCACACGTTGCGCGTTAATTTACAATCGCGCCAACGATGAGAGAGTATGCACACGCTTGACAAGTGTGGCTGGCTCCTTCGACAACTGGAGCGGCCGCAGTTTTTGTTGCAAAAATAATTATTTACTCTAACGACCGATGATCGATCGAGGTTGATTAACTTATTATCCGACATGAAGGTGTGCGTACGTTGTTCAATACATTCGTGTAGAGAGAGTATGAAATTATTTGTGGGACGTATTACTGAAGCTATCTGAATTTCTAATCGTTAAAAACGACGTGTCAATAAGTGTCCGAGAATACTTTTCACCTGTCGAGAAAGATTTCTGCTGTTAAACGTCCACGGTTACTCCTCTCGAACACACTTTACAGTGTTCGAGAAGAAAGGCATCCCCTCGGACTCTAATATATAATCCTCGATTTTGCACATCATCTTCGCAGTCAAGGGTGGAGAGAGGAAAGGGCAATCCGTATCAAATCAAGCGTGGCGTCATCGGTCGCGGGGCATGCTTCCACGTTGTTCAACGTGAACACCCATTGTGCCTGGTTCTTCCGATCTTGTCATCCGCGGTTTTTTTTACGACGCGGCTCGATTACTTTTCGATTCGTCTTCATGTCATCGTCATCATCGTCGTCTTCGTCGCCGTCACCGTCGCCGTCGCCGTCGCCGCCGCCGCCGTCCCCTTCGCGCGTTGGGCTCCTGCTCTAGCTTAGCCAGTGAATCATCTTCAACGACCCCCTCCTCTGGGATCCGGGCAGAAGACTCTTAAGGGGGCTCACGGAGCAGCGCGAGGCCAGTCCGAGAACGCGACCCTAACACTAACATCCGGTATAGTCCGAGAGAAAGAGAGAGAGAGAGAGAAGAGACGAGAGTCGGAAACGGAAACGACTGACTGCTTGATCGCCGCACTGCCAATACAGTAATCGGCACGCTAACATGAAGATCATCCTGTTGCTCTTCGTCGTCGCGGCCTTCGCCTCAGGTTAGTACCCTTTTACATCACGACACAATGCCGGCTCGTTCGTGCTCGCTTTAACATCCGCGGTGACGTCTTCATTATTATGAAATGATTGTTCTCTTGACTTCATCACGAGCATATTGGATACACTCTTCCGCTCAACCATCGACATCTCTTGCATTTCTGACTGTCCACTTAACGCGTAGTGTTATATGTGAAAACAATATAATTAGCATTTTAATAGTGAAGAAAATTTCAAAATTACGAAAAACATGAAATCGTAAAATCAAACGTTTTGAATATTTGGTTCAATTATGTAAATATTTTATTTAATTCGTTATAAGTTATATGTTATAAATATTTTGTGAAAGTTTTACAATATATTAAAAAATGTTTATTTTTTATATGTATTCTTATATATTCAATATATCTTTCTCTGGACCAATTGCAAATACCTATTTGTTATATTCAAAATTTCTAATTTCCGAATTTTCTTTATTTTAATCAATTGTTTTTAATATTACCCTTTTATATTTTCATATTTTAAAACCTTTTTATATTGCCTGATATATATTTCTACTGTTCTTAGTAGTAGTAAAACACGCACTTTTCTGTCATTAAAAAAAACCCCTGCACCAACTGTCAGCGTATTCAAAGTTGAAACCGGAAATAACCGTTGGTAGAACACGCAAGCGACATAATGCACCGGGTATATCGCGTCTCTTCAAAGAGTTTCTATCCGTTTAAAATTCTGTCCATTATAATATATTCAGAGTCTATAAAAATCATTCAAATTTGATAGAAAAAATACTTTTAAACAGTAATAAGTAAAATTAAAACCTCATATTTTTTAAACAAATATTTACGCACTGAGAGAGATAAATTTCATGATATTTACGATTTGAATCGAAATCTCCGCAAGTAAAAGTGATGTTACATCCTACGAAGCGACAATCCTGCGCACGAAGAAGCTCATTACTCATATTCAAAGGCTCGTTACTTGCGTTCATTAAAAAAAGAGGAAAGAGAAAGAGATTACACACGCGGATGAACGTTTACCGAGACCGTTTATAGACATTCGAGCCCCCGTTCGTGTACTTGTTCCTTAGACCGGGAATCTTGTCGAGTATCATTAGCCGAACGGCGGGAACGCATTACGTGAACGAAGCTGTAGTTAAAGCGGCTGGTCGCCTCTTCTTTCACGCGCGCATACACCGGCGGCAGACGTCTCAAGGCCTTTGGGTCATTTACCACCACCTGCACGTTCAACTTGACGATCCGGAACGTTTTTGCTCCGGATGCGCCTCTACGAAGTATCCAGAGCCGTGACTAGACTTTTGCCAACCGGCCGAACGGATATCTCGCACCGTCTTGCTTCGCTGCTCTATTCTATAACAATGTAGTCCGCGCGTACATGCGAAATTGCTCCCTCTTGGGAAACTCAGATTGATTCGCTTCGATCCCGCCGAGATTCTTCAAGATATCGTAACAAAGAAGTTTCAAACGTCTGTTATCTTTTTGCAAAATTAAACAAGCAACAATATCGCATTGTATCTGTCTTCTCACATCGTCTTTTCACCTGCGTTTGGCCTCTCGATCTGTTATCTCGGTCTCATCAATCATTGAGTCTTTTAAATTTCGTGACTCTGACTATATGTATAGAGGACGAACTTGTTCTCTTCTTACACCAAAGCCTCCTTTTGTTTCGTAACTCTCTTACGTAAGAGTACCAAAAAATATCTCAACTCATTCATCTCAAACATATAATTATCAAACGTTTTTGTCGTATTCCTCTCTTTCTCTCTCTCTCTCTTTATTTATTAAAATATCTCCTAATAAGATTAAAATTTAAAAAGTTGATTTTTCTTATCATTGTCAGCCTTTGCAGCCGTAAACATGTAGTACAAAGCAAAGAACAATCGCGACTAGAAACAATGAGAGGGACTCGCAGTTGCGACACTCGTTCACCTACCGGCTATTCGGGGGTCTCGACGCGTCATAATTCATAAGTACAGTTAACCAAATAGCCGTCGCGGTTCAATGAACCCGCAACTTGATATATCGTGTGAACACTGCCCTTGTCGTAAAGCTTCCAGTCATTGTGAAGCCGGCTAAAAACGCACCGCGTCAGGGTACGCATTTAGAGAGTGAAATTAAAATCGTATTATGAAGCGGACAACGATGGAATAGTTCCATCAATTTCGTTCCTCTTGCTACGTCCTATCACTATTGTATCACATATAATGCGATGAAAATGACGCTTCTTAACGTATATAAATTTAAATGATCTTTTTCTCAGTTTCGAAATGTCTATCATGTGGCTAACAATAAGTTATGGAGATTATTATCACATATAAACTATCTAAACAGTTTCTAAGTTGAAAACTTGATTTCGATTGTTATTGTTCCCATACTAATGATCTCATTTTACACGCTGCATTGAAAGATATGCGGACGTTTTTATTAATAGTAACGGTTCTCTATCGCGAGCTTCGAGCAGTACGATACTAAAATAGAATGCTGCATTAATATTCACTGAACGGATTCTCTCGCGTCTCTACTGCCATTTGTAGCCTTGTCGGAACTGAACGGCAGACATGCTTAGATAAACCATAAGTAGCTCTAAAAAATAATTTTTTAATAAAATGTGGTGAATTAAATTGAAAATCGTTTTCTTTTAAATTATAATTATAGAAAATAAAAAATTATTTGGAACATAAAAATATAAAAAAATAATCTCAATATTATAACAAGAGACTGAATTAACATATTTTACTATAGAATTAATAATTTTTTTAAATAAATATAATTGTTACTGCTGTTATTGTGCGCGTTAATTTGATAGTCAAGTATACGCACATACGTACACTCGAATTATCGCGAGAATGGCATCAACTATAATGTGCCCCAATTTCGCACACGTGCTACAATTGAGTGTGTTTATAAGTTTATAGCGCACTTTTAACATGGTTTAAAATGAGACGTGATGCAAACGTAGCTGTTTGCGGTATTAAAGAGAAATGTAAAATGTAAAATGTTTCGTTCACAGCCCAGAGGATTACAACGATCCAGCTGGATGGCATACAATACTTCGTATCGCGAATGAACCCCTACAGTCCAGAACTGAATTACTTCCTGGCGTATCAATATTGCCGTTCGCTGGGCCTCCAGTTGGCGTCTTTCGAGACGAAAGAGAAGGCCGACACGATGACGCAATATTTGAAGAACGCCGGTTACACGAAATACGACTTTTGGACCTCCGGCAACAAGCTAGGCACCGACATGTTTTTGTGGATGAGCACGGGACTGCCGTTTAACGTCACCTTTGACTACATGCTGAAGCGACCTGGCAACAGACCTGCCGACGTACCACCCGGCACCGAACCCCAAAGGGTGGCGCGTGAAAGGTAATATCTTTAACTAGATCGTGCACTATTATTACTACTAATTAGTAAAAAAAAACCGTCGATTAAATCAGAAGATATTAATTAAACACATATCCAATAACAATAAGATCAATTAAATATTTACATCTCCACTGAACGCTAAAAATGATAGGCAACGTCTTTCAGTTTCAAAGAGCCAGTATCATTTTTCATGATCGAAGAATCGCATATTAGTCGATCGTAGTTGTTACGAGTAACGTGGTTATCAGCCACTCTCTTCCGCAGTTCTAACACCCGGAAACTCGTGCGTGGAATAGCTAACAACAGAACAGGTATTCTCGTTTAAATTCCAAAACGCGAGTTTCTCGATTTCAGCGGCGACAGCGGCAGCGCGGACGGATGCGTCGCGATGGTAGCACCTACGTTAGCCTGGGAGGCGCAGGATTGCACTCTCGTGAAGGACTTTATCTGCGAGCAAACAAGATGCTATTACTACAACTACGGCAGCATTCCAGTCTCCGCGACTCAGGGGTAAGAGGTGAGATAATATTTGTCACAAAAATACACGAGTCGAAAGGAAGGAGAGAGAAAGAGAAAGAGAGAGAGAGAAAAAGGGAGTCTAGAGATACCGATGTACCTTAAACGAATCTCGCTTATGCACGGAGTGCAAAAAGTAAATGACCCTCCAGCGATAAGCTATGCAAATGTATATCGCGATAATTGAACGTATTTATCCCTCCTGCTACCGAAGTATGCGGTATGCGGTATGCGGAATGGTTCAGCTTAGCGACAGATGAAAATTTATTATTATATTCGCGACTTGTAAGTACGTCCCGTGTCGACAACGCGTCACTGTAATTTCAATCTCGTAGAACATATATAGAACTTGAATCTTTTCTTTTTCAGCGATTACTTAATGTTTACGAAGGCGTGAAACGAGGTGATACTTGTAAACCGGACGTCACCGGAACAAACTTTTTCCTCCGTGCAATCTAGCGAGAGATAGAAATAGCTTGAAACGAGGAATGCTTTTTCTTCCGCAATTCGCGGTAAAATGAGGAACGGTTATTGCGATGATCAAGACGCTAGATCTTGACTCGCCAGTATTAAACCAGTTCTTCGAGATCTTCCTCGCATAGCTATAGCTAATATAGCTTCGGGATCGAAGTGTCGATGAATGAGAATAGCTCAGCCACGATACGGAATTCCAGCAAATGCCTTTATAGCTTAATCTTAATAACGCAATTATTCTCTCGCTTCTTGACGCACGATACTCACAAACGATACACTTCTTACACGTACACATACACAAGTATGGCTTCACTCATTGCAAATAACTGCTGCTATAAAAATATTTACGTGACAGTGAAGCTACGCTTTCCTCTGCTATTAATACGATGCTTAAATTAAGCCATTAATAATCGTAAGACGCTAATTTAACAATAAATATTTTCAATAAATTCGCGAGAAATTAATTATTTTAATTCTTATGAAAAAGCGACGGGAACGATTGAGATCTCCTGAACAAGCCCCTTTATCTTTTTAGAAATCACAGGCCGTACATCACAACCACCTCGGTGCCAGCCAGCGACGACCAAGCGAGTGATTACGTAACTGACAGCACCGATATCGATGATCACCATCTGGGTACCGATCCCCAGAACGAACAAGAGGCAACACCATTGGAAGCGGACGTGTCCGCGAACGAAAAACTATCAGAGGACCCGGTCGTCAGCAGGCTAATCACTACGGCCGCTCCCGCATCTGGCAATCAGCATCAACAGCAACAGCAGTCCCGTCAACACATGGGAACGACAGCGTCGGCGACGTCGCTGTTCAACGACGATAACGAGCGCGAGCGCACGGCCATCGGCGACCTGGACGATATCAGACCAGATCACATCCCGGACATCGCGAGCCTGTTCACCGGGCATGTCGCCGTGGCATCTCAACCGCGGAAAGACAGCGTTTTCGACGGTCTCGAGACTCGCCAAGTCCTGCGACCGTCGGTCTCCCGTCCCGTCGTCTCCTCCGCCTCCTCCTCCTTCTCGTCGGAGATGAAGATGGAGCATCGCGAGTCCTCCGACTACGGTGACTTGGCCGCGGAGACTGAATTACCGAACAACGGTCTCGAGGACGCCCACACGATTGGGCCGTACGACAGCGTGCAAGATTATGTAAACGATCAGCCGGCAGACTCGGCGGCGTCGTCGGCGGATTCGGCGATGATGAAGGACCAGGATGACGACAGTAGCACGATCTTGCCAGAGGCGGAACCGGCCTATAGGTACAACATCAAAGTGCGCACCAACGGCAAAGTATTAGACCCTCCGTCCAAGTAACGCTTTACTTCCTCCTAGATAACGTCGCGTTATTTTGTTTTATAAGTGACAGAAACACACAGATCGACATTCTTGAGGAACTAAGTATATAGGTATATATATATATATATATATATTATATTTGTATATGTATATCAGAGTGCATTTTGCACATGTGACACGAGCGAGCTGTAGCTGTTTCGCGGATCAGACCGATCGCTACTGTTGTCACCGCTCGCTGTTTAGCTCTAACTTAAGGCGTACCCGATATAATGCTCGATAGTTTTGAATCAGAAAGACACTATTATCAGCTTTCTCGGTCGGCGGCAGGCAGAAATGATTATTACGAACCGTCCGTTAGTATCGAAGCTTGGAACGAACACGAATGAGTAATGCCGCGACTCGGAAATGATATTAAAGATGTCAAAAAGGAAAAGCCGTGATATCAGTCGAAAACAAATTATTCTCCTGCCGACGTTACTCGACAAGCTGTACATTTTCACAAGGGCATTTACTCAATTACTCAGCTCTCATTTTCTATCATCGATGACGCCGGCGGATTATCATTTTCATCGCATCATTTATTCATCATTTCTATCCTGTTTATTCTCATTAAATTCTCATTAACAGTATTAACAACAGAATTTAGAATAGGAAAAATAAAAAATGAAAAAAAAAATATTAAACTCAATAATTCACTATTGAATTAAACTGCCAGTTTCCGCCAGCGTCTTATATCTTTATAAGGTGATAATCATCATCGTCATAGTTAACATGTGTCTATACGTCTGCAAGACGAAACATTCGACACTCTACCATACGATTCCCGAAATATTTTGGGATGCGTAATGGATGTTAAAGAAACCGCTGAGAATCAGTCGTAAATGTTTCGGTCATCCAGACGTATGACGATCGGTGTACGTAGTTTCATCAACGAGGAACGTTGCTCTCTAGCTGCTATGGTAAGTCACTTCCATATTAATTCTGTGTAGAACGGCGCGAATGTGCGACTTGTGTAACTGAATTTTAATAAAGATACGACTACAGTCTTATAATATTACGCGTCTGCCATTCGCTGTTCCCACTTATATCATTCTATTCTTAAACGTAAAGTTAGAAAGTTTCATGTTAGAGCTAGGCACATGTTAAAAGTCTCTATCATGATTTTCGTCCAATAAAAAAACGGTTTGATAAAAATATACATAATTGTTAACTTACCAGCCGTTTACAACTCCTTCTATATTTAGCATAGGAATTATTTTGAACACATAATCGTCACGTAAACTGCTAGCGTATTGGTTGTCACTTAGGAGAGCCTCCATGGTTCCGTGCATCACCCAAGAGGCGTTGCTTTCACCGGGGTGTACTCTGGACGTTAAAAAGATCATCTTTCGTGTCTGAAAGGGAATGATACTTAGCTCTAAATATCTGCTTAAATGACTTATTGTTATGCGAAGATTTATATATATATCTAAGAGATTTCTCACGTGTATAGGATTGGTTTTGGAATCCGGTGACGTAATGGTGAGCACAGGATTCTCATTGCCGTTTAAAGTCTCACAGAGCGTCTCCGCGCGAAAGTACACGGTCGCCGTGGAAACTCTCTTCGTCCACTTCCAAATGTTGGTCATCAACCGACTATACGTGTACGGGAAATGATACGCCAGATAACAAACATCGTAAGCGTGCGGAAACGTGACCGTGAAGGACGTCGTGAAGTACGTTTTTCCCCTGGTGGACCGTTGATAACAATTTCGATAGTAACAAATGTCGACGCCGGTCCTCACCCAACCTGGCCTACCACATTGCGCCTCCGTGACGCTGAATAGTATCGGTTTCATGCCAAAGTTAAACTGCGAGTTTGTCTTTTCACAGTTGATTATATTGAACGTGTACGGCGCATTCGCCTCCATGCTGGAGACCTCGAAATAGAACCATTGATGTCTGGAACCGCTGTTAACATCTGGCGTCAGGATAAGATCGTATTCTCGTGGACCTATCTAAGGAGAAAGCAGACGTGAAATATTAATGTAACGAAATTTAACAAAAAATGAATTTATATACATATAGCGGAATTATAGATTGTAGAAATTGCCGCGCTAAGTCACTATGAAGTCTTATGTAATATGAACATAATCGATTACATAAAGCGCGAGTAGCAAACCGACTATACCTGAATAGCTTTCCTCAGATTGCCGCTTTCGAATCTGGACTCGAATTGTAACCGTTTCGTATCCGAATTGCGATTGCCGATCCTGTTCTCATCCCAGTTCCCAAACAACCGCTCCTCGCCCGACATTGTCCGGGAAGCGGAATTTGCGAGGGCATCAAGATCATAAACAACTTCCTGGATAGTGGCGGCAGCATGGAGACCGCGTTCCACGCAGGCTAGCAATTTCGCGCGGCAAACCTTCCTGTCCTTAATATTGAGCGGCTCAGCTTTCCCCAGACCGTCACCGCCGATCATGTCCGGATAAGCGACCTTGACGAAACCGATAACGCTCCTCACTCTGCTCGCCACGGCGCAATACGCGTGCGGATCCGTAACGTTCGCCGACACGTCTTCTAGGACCTTCAAACTGTGCGTGCCGTTCACCAATTGACTCTTCGTTGTACCGTTAGATCTCGAAAAGTCCTTGACTAAGGTCTTCGTCTTTCCCGTCTTCCCGACCGACGAGTTTATCTGATCGTCCTCCACCAAACAAAGATCAGTTAGCTTGACGTTCGACGATCCGACGATATGTAGCTGCGACCGCAGAGTTCCCAGCTCCTTGAAGAACGTATGGTATCTGATGAGAAAAGAGAGATTGTTGCGTTGGTAATTATAGTTGACGTCAATAATGTGTGTCTGCAAAAATAATGTTCCACCTACCCAGCGAGATCCTCCTCGGATCTCTGCGAAGTAAAAACCCCGGCGAAAAATTTGTTTTCGTCTACCTCGTCGCCCACGTGAATTTCATTATCCATTGTATCTCTAGAGTCGTGGCTCTCTTCGTCATCCCCGGAATCGAGATCGCTGTACAGTCTACCCATCGAAGCCACACTGTTCGCCTATGCAGAAATCAATATTCGAGCCGCACGAACATTTAACGGCACAAGTTTTGACACTATATACGGACGTTTTGGACACTGCGATATTTTGCAAAGCGATTCGTTAAAAGAAGTACATGACGTTATTGATAAACGCGTACTTTAAGCATCAAACATCAAGCTTGCGATGTTTATTACGTCGGTTCAATTTTTCGTGAAGTACACACCTGGCTATCGATGTCGCTGCCGCTTTCAGCACTGTTCGCCCTGGTAACAGTCACTTCGGGCAAAACGAATCTACGTGCAAAAAAAGAGAATCGATTTTAGTGCGCACAGTTGTGATCCTTAACTAATCTGATAATATCGCATAACAAAAGCTATCGCTACTTATTCGCCTTGTACATACATGATACTTGATCCCGGTAGTAACAAAAGCGATCAACCCGCAAATTTTTGTAATACTTTTTATAGAAAGACGTGTAAATATACGTCGAAATATAATAAGCGATTATCACGAGATACAGTATATGAGATGACCTCGAACGTTTCATTCACCTTGCAGGCGACATTTCGGGCACCGGTAATTCCTTTTTCTCCAGACACTGATTGATTATCCCACAAATACGCGACAGCAGGCAGTCATAAGTTTTGTCCTCTGGACAGCTCGTGCAGAACCGGTACAGTAGCTGTAGGCCATTGTTCGACTTGATAGCCTTCCTTCCAGCTTCTAGAACGGCGGACAAAAAACGCGTGTAATACCGACGCCTTTCAAAAATATATTAAGAGGCTGATAAATGTAAAATTAAGCAATATATATATATATCCCAGGGACCATCCTTCGAAAGACTTCTTTATAGAGAACTTTTTAGAATCCATTCTAATAAACTTACTTATTACGCAGAGATGCTGAAGCGTATTCAGAGCGTAATTACAAATCTTTAAGCGCATCTGTCCATCAAATCTTTCCCATCTCTCGAAAATTCGCATCAACAGATGTACCATTCCCACCTTAACAAATTTGTTACAGCATAATTCTGAAAGCAAAATATCATAAATGTTAAAATAATTAATAAAGAAAAATGAAATACGTCATACGCGTAAACACACACGTGCTTACTATTGGTCGTTAAATGTTTGAAGCAGTCCAATAACGTCCTCAGCTTCAAATGTGGCGTATAACCGATACTGACAAACGTTTTCTCCAAAGTACTAGTGATACCATCCTTTACAAGTGTTTGCAAAGAAAAAGCTACCGAAAAAAATAATAGCTTTATCATCCTCAAATACATAAGCGAATTGTCCGATACACCAAAGAAAACTGTTGCTTACAATTTTTAGCAAGAGTTTTGATGATCAACAACAACGGCAATAACGTCTTGCTGTTATTATAATACTGTTTCAACAGCGCGTGGAACACTTTTATGGAGTTGAGCAGTTTCATTTTTGACACAAACTTCTGGTCCCTCTGAGCCACCTAAAAGAATCGCAAAATAATTTCAACAACTCATATTTCTCAAAATATTATAAACATTTTTAAAAATTACGTGCTTATTTTTATTTTAAGATCTTATTATTTCATAATTTAAGGATTTTAATGTAATTTCAAAATAAAACCAATATTAAAGTATAATGCATAAAATTACAATATAAAGTTAAAAATAGTTGAAATAAATCTTATACGCCAGAAAAATTGGAATTGAAAAAATACTGTCGTAGACATACGCAGTGCGATCGATAAAAGTTCTGCTGTGCAGGTATATAACGTATCAAGAGTATTTTCTTCTATTCATGCACAGGTAGCGAGCCAAACAAAATAATTGTTCCTAATTGCAAAATAAAATTTTAAAAAAAGTTCATTACAATGCGTCTTTAAACATCACCTGTCCCAAAATCCAGAGGATGTCTTGAGTGAGCACTTCGCTCGTGATAGTATCTGCGTGTTGCAGATTTATTAAAAGTTTAACTAGGACTTGCGTGATACCTAAGTTGATGAGTTGAATGACCGCCATTCGGCTACTGGTTCCTATTAAAGAATAAGCTTTCTATTAAAGAATACTTTCACAATCTCGAAAAAATTCCGAATAAACTATACCCTCGAAGAATAAACGCTATCAAATCTGCGAATTCGACAAAATTCGCACATTCTCGGTAAAACATGTTTCTCTATGATAAACAATTGTCAATTACTTGTGGCACTTCTATTCTTGCTCCCCCTCTCCTTGGATTTGCCTTTGGTTACTCGAGGCGATATACATTCGTGCAATATGCTGGTGACACTGCAGTTAGCAACGTGGTCCTTGCAATTCTAAAAGGAAATTTCGAGGATGAATCTCAATCGTTTCTCAATTTTCTGCATCTTTTTTCTTCCTTTTCCGTCGATACAGCGTAACAGGCATAAAAATGGCTACGATATAACAGCAAAAAGTAATTATAAAGAATCGCGTGGGTAATATACGAGTAATAATTGTTTTACGTGAACGTTCCGACACTCGTCGGGACCCGGAACAGATGGATATCCAGATTTACGGGTATCAGTTTCGCGACTTTCCCGAGCGTGTAGACAATGCAGGATGCGTGTTGCGTGACACGCGGACGCGGTATTTCGCAGATAGTATACTAATTACCACGATTACTCAACTCTTGGCTCTATGTCGTGTCAATAATGCAGCCCGCCGAATAATTGTAAACCCACATATAATTATCTCCCTCTCTCGCACATACGTGTATCGATCCCGGTTGCTGTTAACACGCGAAACTATCGTAGCTTATCCGAAACGTGTAGCGCCGATAAGACGCTACAAGTTACGATTAACAGGAGCGAAGGGAAGATAACGCGATGAAGACCAAAAGATTAAGTATTTTAATTAAAAATTATTCACCTCCAGAGTCATAATGAACGATTCCATCGCCCCGGAATTCTTGCGCCAGAGCTTTTCTAACGTGCGCTCGCGTATCCGCCGGTCTGGAATACATATGTAAAGTCATAAACCGTTTTATCCTCTGTTTTTGCTTAAATCAGATTCGTAAATCACAATTTATTCGTGGCGCCAGATGCATTAATGTCTTGCCAGTGCTAGCTAAGTTTTAACACATGTACGTTCAAAGGTACGTTCTGTTCTTTGAAAAATCAAGAATACCGCGTACACTGGCACGATACGCTCTTACGTCAAAGTTGACGCAGTGCCAATTAGGATCAATGTTAAACTCCTTTGTGATTACAAATATCATCGATATGTTTGCAGTGCACGTGAGGAATATAAATTACGTACGAGTTTTCGCTTCTGTCGTCGTGATAACGGATATAACTGCAGTGTGACGTGAAACGTGACCTACAGCGAAGATTTAGTAACGTCTAAAGTCTAAATGTATCCGACTATGTCGCAAAATTTCATATGATATTCGCCGCAATCGCGAACCGAAGCGCGAACAACTCAACCGTGCGATGCAGCAAATTATATCCGCGATTCGCGGGAACACCGACCAGGAAGATTGCCAGGCCAGGCCCTTATCAAATCGGCACACGAGCGCGACCAGCACCAGAGTGTGTATATCGTTCGGAGTCATAGTTTTCTGGATGCCGGCCAAACGCCAACGGGTCTGTCGGCTGAGTCGGCTCTGTCGTCAGTGTTACCGAAAGTGATTACGCAATCAGCTAACAGGCGGTTGGCGGTTCTTCTATTCTAAAATAACGCACGGTAGCGATCGACTGCCGTTTGCACACCTGTTCGCCAACTGTGTCCGAACCCGAACTGTCCAAAGGTCCGGGACGGATTGACAAATTAATATATTTGACAATCATACGCGACCAAATACGGTACCAAAACAGTATTTCTGCAATAATTACAGAATAGATAATAAATATCGAACAAAGTTGATAATATCAATAATATGCTTAAATAAAAACTTTAAAAACTTGAAATTATTTATAAAAATTGTTTATACGTAAATCTATCGCGAAAGGATATCGAAAATAGAAATTAGAAATATCGCTTGGGCAAACAACCGCGTAAAACTGTTGGCTTATTTGAAAATGACCCGAATTTACATCGCACATATTTGACATGCCTACCTCAGCCGCTGGCCGAGACTGCCGAGAGTTCTATGACCCAAAACGCATTTTTCCAAAATAAAGGCTTAACGTTCCCGCTGAAAATTTCGTGTGGCTTATGTACGTTTTATCAAATTTCATACTAACTGCACGATGCAAATGCAATAATAACAATGCGACGGCGCAGAACGTGACGAAGGATTTCCCTGGCCATCCATTGCGCGGGGGAATCATCACATGAGAATGATAAATCGCGCAAGTTTCATCGTGATTTCGTGCTCGCCGAGAGTAATAATATACCGGCACGAAGTTCTCCCTGGAGTGTCCAACCTACCCTCCCCGATTCGTTTAGAACTTTATTGCCCCGCGCGATCGCAGTTCGCGCGCAAATCGCAATATCGTACGCCTATCGTACGAGACCATTAATGGAGATTGGAGACGACACGCGATACGAAACACTAATGAGAAGGGAGATTGCCTCGGCGCGGCGTCGCTAATTCGCGATAAGATCGAAACAAAGAGATAAAAGTATATAAAACGGGTAGCTCTTATGTCATCAGAATAAAAATTCTGCGAAACGTTTAAGCCCGGTCCCTATATAATTCGCAGGTCGCGAAACGCAAGACACACGCACAGTCTATACCATGTCAATCTAACATCTAACCTCTCTCATCTCTCTGTGTATAGAAGTTATATTGACATGTAGACTGTGCGTGTATCTTGCGTTTCGCGAACTGCTAATTACGTAGACCGGGCTTTATTCGGGAACCGTGCAAACAATCGAGAGAAATAACTCGTCATCGCCCGGTAAATGCCGGTGAGAAAAGGTTAAATTGGCACAAGTCTGGCATATCTTTTGAAATACAAAGTCTGTCGCGGCAAGACGAGGGGATTCCGGTGGAGGTTGCGTACCTGATGAGGTGACACGCGCGTGAATCTTGGCCGCGATCGCCCTGAGCGCGTCGCCCGCTTCCTGCGGTTTAGCCGCGTAATTTCGGAGCTTCTCCAACAGCGCATCGTTCACAACCTCTTCCGCGCCTTTATTACCCGCTGACATCAGTGGCATCACGCTAAACAACGCATCGCAAAAAAAAAAACAACGAAATATCATTTAGGGCCAAAGCACATATGACAGTCGTAGTCGTGGACGTAAGTAACGCACAAGCTTTGGCGTATCCTGATCTGTCAGGTCGGGGACTACGACCGTCGTATATCGCTACGCCATGTTATGTGCTTTGACCCTTACTCTCCTAGAGGGACCGTTCGATGCGCATCGATATCGATAGCGCGGAAATCGCAAAAAGCCATTCTTGATCTCGGGTATATAGGATGCAGCTACGGCTGACAGCAAGTGAACACGTCAAAACGATAGCGCACGATGTCGCTAGCCGCTAGGTGCAAAAGCGTACAGTAAATACAGTTCATGGTGGGAGGAAAAAATATATGTTCTTGCACATTTTTGATGCAATAAAACCAATGAGCATCCCTCTATCGAGCACACTGCAATGGAGCACACCTTGTTTTCCTTCCACCATACATACAATCGAACTGAGAGCTCTGCCTTTCTGCCTACGATGACAAGTGACACGATGAAGGATTACAAAGGCTGCAAGCTAACGTTTCACATTGCCTTACGGCACCTGAAAAAGATGATTGACGATTATTTTCCCGTGGGTATGTACGCAAGAAGTGACTTCGCGATTTTCGCCTCTCTCTCCCTCCCTTTATATTTCTTATCACTTTTTATCAGTACACTAATTCGTTTTAGGATACCCGTGACAGATGCAAAAGCGATAGCTTTTCGTCACGATGGGACGGACAATGGGGTGCATCGCGCGACCGTCGACAATGCCTCGTCGTGTATTAATGAATCTTCGTTGGCTTTCGGCCAGCGCAGATTCGGAAGAACTGTTAATCACGATCCGCAATCAGCTGGGTCGTGGTTAGTCGATGTCGCGGGGATTAAAGTCAACCATCGGAAAATCGACGCTCGTCGGAGCCAAGGTTAATTAGCGCGACCAGGTAAAACACGACGCTCTCTAAAATAAGCGCCGCCACGCGCGATCGTCCTCGCGCGAGCCGCGATTCCGGGAAGGACGGCCAGAAAGGAACTCATTATCGAATAATTAAGCGTCCAACTGCGCACTAACCAGAAACGATGTCATATTAAAAGATATGACACGTTCTATTTGGCCACGTTTTGAGAAAAATCAGAAACGTTGAGAATATCAGAACCGCATATCTTGAAATTATTTTGATTTTGGCTCCACTTCGGAACTTAAATCTAATTTTCTCACGTTTGAATCCTAAGCTAGGTAAAATATTTGCGAAGCAACAAAAAGCGGATGACGGCATGCGGAATATTTGACACGGAGCTATTTTAACTCTTCAAGCAGGCAGACACAAAAATAAGAACAAAAAGACTATAAACGTTTTTAGTGATAAGATATTTATTGATAGCTCGCAGATTACAGAGTGTAACGTGTCTTCTGCAACGTGTGCAGCGTGCGGTTCGAAAGTTTCGGAACATCCTCGAAGGGTTAAAGGAATGCGTGAGTTATTGCATTAAGCGTTGCATCGGTGCGCTAACGAGAGAAGCTACGATGATCGAACGAGTCCATAGGATATACGGTGTAACAATCGCAGAATTTCCTCGACTTTGGCTTATTAAGCAGCATAATTAATGAACGTCACACGCTCCTCCGACATCTTCGGAACGACAATTAATGTACTTGCACGCTTCGCGACCGGTAACGCCGCACGTTTAATTGCTAGGTACGTAAAAGCTAATTCAAGCGCATAACGAATCGCGATGTCAATGATACATACACATCGGCTCGATGCAGTCTCGATAAAAAGAGAGAGAAAAAAGAAGAAATGTCGAACGAGATAAATTCAGCGCGCACACGCGAGTATACGTGCGAGGTCAGATTATCTTTCGTCCGGATTTATTACAGATTTGCACGAAATTTAAGTTGCAAAGCCGTTTAAGGTACTCGAACTATTAAGAAAGCGTAATTGTGTACGCTTTATAATTATAATAAATAGATTCGTGCATTGCCAGTGTCAATTAAAGCTTCGCGAAACGAGTCTATTATTCGGTGACTATCGTCGATATATCGGGGAGAAAAATAACAAAAAATCTTCGGCCTCGTATAAATATAGCGATCGTCAGAGAAGCATATCGAAATAATATACCGCGCATACTGAGCGCATACCGGGCGCGTACGCGACAATCGTCGAGACGTGAACCGGAAATCGCGAACGGAGATGGCGATTGGCGAGCACGCACGTACACACATACACACGGAAACACGGATTCAGTCTTCTAGGCTCTTTACTCTTCCTGCTGCCCCTGCTGGACGTCGACCGGTTGCATCGTCGCCATCGGTCGCCGATTTTCCTTGTCGCGTCTCGCCGGGGCACCTTTCATATTTCTTCCTCTCTCTATTCTCGTCTGTATCAGAAGCTGAATTTCGCGATAGGACTCTCGAGAATAATAAAATTTTTCGCGACTTTTCCAGAGTGACGGAACGTCCGTTGTGAATCGTTTTTCTCTCTCGACGCGAGATCTTGGCGAGCGCGAATCTCTCCCTGCGCGAAATTCGCGAAGCGATCCTCGCGCTTCGCCACTCCGCGGCGGTTTGACGTTTCTGCCTGCCAAAACTATGTTTAAATGCATAACGCGCGCGCACAGACACACGCGCGGGGCGCGCGTCTATTTTTAGCGACCGGCCGCTTCCCGAAAATTGCGCCCCCTTTCTCTCATCCCATCCCAGCGATAACACCCTCGCGTCCTCCAGCACCTTGGCGTCATCGACCGATGCGCCGCAAGACCGCGATGCACCGCCAAAAAGTCTCGACGCTACGCGAGACTTTTACGAGAGTGTCAACTCTTTTTCCCTCTTTCATGTGGATTTCAAAGCGACGCAATTTATTAAACAAAGAAAGAACATGCTTGCATTTTTTGCAACGAGATGAGATTTTTTTTTTTTTTTTATTTATATAGGTATCTGTCTAACATTTCTCACGTCGAAGCTGATTCTTGGAACGTGAGGGGAAAATGGATGCGGGTATTTCCGAAATGAAATGATTTTCGAAATAGAGAACCTGGCAGAGCGAAACATCTGGGACTTTTGAAATCTTTCTCTCCGCATCTCTCGCAGCGTGAAGATCTAGCGCGAGATATCTCGGGAAAATAATTGCTGTTTATTTACCGAGCGCCTTCAAAGATCGCGGAATCGCGTTCGGTTTGCCAAAACGAAAAATACTTCCGCGACTTCACCAGTCTTCCAAAACCTTCATCGGTTCCGCTAGAATGCGAAAGGACGTTGAAATGAGTTACAGCGAGCAGGTGAACACGTTGCAAAATTTCATCTGGTTGTATGTTATATATGGCGATGAAATAACGATGGAAATTTTCCAAAACATGCGCGAACTGCTTGGGGCAGATTTGCTTGATAAACTTTTTTGGAACGAGCAAAAGCGATGAAGAAACCAGTTATAAGTAGACCGCCTCATTTCGGTAACGAGATTAGCATAAAAAATGAGCCCCAGTATACCCAGTACCGCTATCCGCGGATCTTCGTTGTCAAACACAGGACAATTTATAGCGAATATAATCTGCCTAGCCTAGCGTTGTTCTTAGCTTAGACCTAGCTTCTTGATTTTTAAACATAAATTCAACAAGAGATCAGAGAATCGGTCTGCAACCAAAAATTTCTCTGCAAAATTGCGTGCAATTGTTCGGTGCAATTAGGACGCCACGCCGGAAAGAAAACTTGAATTGTTTCTTTAATTACGTAAAATCAACGAGGAAGTGCCGTCAACGGTGTGACATTCGCGTGCGGCTGTCACGTTGGCGCATGTTTATTCACGTGCGGCACGTTCGCCGGCATGAAGACGTTGATGAAGCTGCACACGAAACGATACATAGTGCGTCGTTAACGGAACGGATGCGACACGATTTGTGGAGTTTACCAATTAAACGAGCCGGCACGAGAACAAAATCGAGTTAAGAATCGAGCTGAGGAAAGGAGGCGCTGAGAAAAGCAGCTATAGTCGAGCGGGGAATACAGATTGTGGCCCATGCCTGAGTCGTTCTTGAAGGCTTCTTCTCCCACGAGGACAACGTCGTAATCGACGATCACCTGGCCAACACTGACGTTATGCGACCTCGGGGTCGAACGACGACTGGTATACGAGTGCTGAACGGAATCGGCGAACCAGGACGAATTAGATCGACTCGGGTGTACGAGCCTCACTTGTTGATGAATGCAAATGCAAATCCAGCGGATTGATTAGCGGACGTGCGAAGTTCCACGAGCGCGGTCGACCTCTCACGAGGTTTCCTCTATTGATTGCCGAAAGGGCTTAAAGGGCGCTTCGGTTCAAATTCCGGTCCACGCTCTCGCGTTAAACTAATCTAATTTATCCTTCGAAAGCAAGCTTCCGCGAATTCGATCGAAAACGCGAGGATCTTGTTAATCTTGAATTAATTTCACATGCTATAATTACGCTTCTGCTGGTCGTGATATTAATAACCCGCTTCATGCTGTGAGTGAGGTATAATCGTTACGATTATTGTCCATCTTATATGGAGAAAAAGAGAGTTAAGTGTTGCATGTAAATCACCATGTAAATTACAGTCCCTCGAAGCGAAGCGATCGCTTGCAGATTCCTTGCTCGTAATGTGATTAACTTTACTCATTGTCAGTGACAATGAGGAAACTTACAAAATCATTAATAAACTAGACGCATCATTGTATTGCATTGCATTGCATTATTCAGGTATAAAACATTTTTTAACTCGCGAGAAGTAAAGATAAAATAAGATTGAAGTTTTCAATTTTATATGAAACGTAACGTTTGGTCACGATATAATCTGACATTGATTGTGACAAATGACATGAATTATTATCGTTGAGGAGTTAACAATTTTTAAATATTTACAAAAAAAATTATCAGCATCAGTGCAAAGAATAAAAAATCGTAGATACATTTTCGAGGGCAAAATATCGTAAAACTTAATTTTTGCGACAGATAAAAAATTATATTCATGAATGTGTCACATTTAAGTCATCACATGAAACCATCAAAGAAGAAGAAGAAACATTCAATTCAATTAATCGCATGTTTATTTAGTATTCATTATTCATTTTTTTTATCGACAGCCATTTATCATGACAATCAGATTGCACCATTGCTAAATTTTCACCTGTTCTCCCCGGGACTCCTAACATTATCAGCAATTCACATCGAGACGACCGTATGCATCGACAAAATTGCATCTTAACGTCATTCAGTGAGCATATTATACATTTATCTGATCAATGATTGGCATAAACATCGAATTATAACGTCGCTAAATTTCAACCGCCAAATCGCCATCAAGGTGACCGTTGTTCGACGACAATACACCCACGTGCGACTCGAATGTCGCGTTTCCGTTCGCTAATAACTGTCAGATCGACAGCATGGCGCGAGGCCAATAAAAAGGACGCTGCATAGAACGCAGATCGACGAGACATTAGAAATGCAAATTCGACTTGGTCCGCAAGACGGACACCTGGTCCGGCCACGCCTCTTATTCATGACCTAAGCGCAAGATCGTAACCGGTTCACGCGCGACCGTGCTTTTCAACGTTCAAACCCACCCGGAGTACTCACGCTATCCGGTACTCCATTCGCGCGCACATCGACTTCTCCTTCGTCGTCCTTCGCAAATCATGCGGGAAGGACGTTTAGAATTACATGGCGATCAATACGCCGCGGACTTTATTGACCGTTGCAATCTCGCGCGATCCATTCTCTTGCGAAACTTTACGTTTACGAGTTTGGCATTTTTTACCATGCCGATCGCGCGCATAGAGGTTTCCTACGATAGGACGAGCGCGTAGAATAGCTGTCGCAAAGAATGTCTCATCGCAGCTCCAGCTCCAAGTACGTCAACGTTCTGATTGCGATCTCTTGAGATATTTCCTTCTCGAAAAAATCGAGAATCGAAAGGCGGAAACAGATACATATGAAAATATCCTTAAATCTCTTCTATATTGCAGCACATATATATATTAATCGTTGAAAGAACCAGATAATAACAAGTTCATAAGTTTACGATCAAGGATATCGGCAAATGTCGACGATTTAGTTCGACTGTTGGGAGAATGCCATGGTTTCGATCATCCCCGTAGCCGATACTTGATTCTGAGACCGATATCGAGGCCGCTTCTCGACGGCTCTCGCTGTGAATCGCGCTACGAGTTCCGCATTAAAAAAAAAAGAGACGAAGAAAGGATAGTAGTACGCCGTATTTCACGTGCGTTGTTCGGGCGATCGGGAGAGGAGACGACACAACGAGTAAACGTTCGTAGGAGCAAAAAAAAGCCGCGGATGATATTCAACGGGGTGGGGCTTTACTCTCCAGGCCGGGAATATATAAATCGCAGGCAGGGCTGAAATTCAAGTTAGTGTGGATACGATCTGAGACTATCGGCAACCTGCGGGGACAAACGATGCGGGTGAGTCGGCCGGTGATTCATTGCTCATGGAACTGCTGTCATTGTTACGCTGTTCGTTTGCATGTTGCCCATCTAGAGCGACGCCAACTTGACATTAAAATGATAGAGAATTCCATGTTTCTACCCATTTTCTCTAAAGCAACGAACACACACACGGCAAACTGACAATCTTAAATTGCCGTGTGTGTGTTCCTGCTTTAAAATATAATTATTTCATTAAAGATTTTTTAATTAATTGTAATCGAAAAATTATCGTGAAAATTGCTTATTCGCGTTTACAGATAAAATACAAAGATCGAAACAGCGCGAGATGTATTAATAGAAAATTGTTATCATACGTACCGCGCTGACGTCATGATGTTTTCGTGGAAAGTAATTTCATTTTGTTTGCAACTCGGTGATCATTCGCGTGCAACGCACGACGGGCATTGCCGCAGACATTATTTTAAAAAGTTGTTGCGCTGCACATATTCCTCGTCGAGTTTTTCGAGAAACGATAAACAGGAGCATATCCTGATATATCCTGATAATAATCATTGAGAAAACTATAAATATAGAAGCACCTGTATATTTGATGTTCGTTGCGCTCTTCTATTTAAAGATAAAATCCAAATTGCTATGTAAACGACATGTCTCTCAATCTTAAACCTTTTTGCAGGGTTTATCGTTCGCGATTTTCTTCGCGGTGGTGGTTGGAACGGCAGTATCAAAACCATTATGGTCGACTTTAGCCGGCACCAACCATCTGTATTCCACGCCCGGAATCGGCGCACAGCCGCAATATCTCGCCGCGTATCAAAATACGCATTCTCCTTATTACGTTTACAATGTATCGCAGACATCGTAAAATATTCGACAGCTACGCATGGACATCACCTGTAATGTTATGCATCTTTTTAGGTTTATTCGAATGTGGGAGGCATACCGAACGCTCTTCACGTTAGCGGCAACCAGAACGTCCCTGTTTATAGCTTCTACTATGGAACGCCGATTTACGATATCCGGATTCCACTAAATCCGGTAATTGTGTCATTTTAAAAGAGCTTCTCGAGCTGTACGTCGTACGAATGGATGTAACAATTTATATTGTTCCAGGTTTATCCCGTGCTGACACCATCGCATCCAGGAATTCCTCCGGTACTCCCGCCGACATCGACAGAACAATCTTTCGACGAAGACGATTACGACGGTATCGAGAAGTTAGATACGAAAGTCGAACCGGACGCAGAGACAAAAAAACCGGAACATAGCGAACAGGATGACGATTCCATAACTGTGGAAGCAATATGAGCTAATTTTCCTCGTTACGTGCACAATATACCATACAGACGTGGAAAGTTAATTATAGTACGATAAACGTTCGCTTCTTTAGTGTTAGTTTTATATTTATATTATGTTACATTATATCCAAAATGCGTTAAACGATTCTTTTTGATAAAATTTTTATTAAAAGAGAAGAATAATGCACCGTTACATTTCGTACGTGGAGAATAAGGTATGATATTTGTAATAAAAATTAAGATTTTGATATGTTCCACTTTATTTATCTTCCCCATTCCGAGACGCCGTTTGAAAACTGGTTAAAGTGATTTGTAAATTTATTAACAGACATCGATTTTTCATCGCGCGTAGTATCGGGAAAGCTATTTATTAAATCGACAGAATTCGACTGATTTGATATCCTCACAAAGAACAGGATAACGACTGAGTAACGTCGATAAATCGATCGTTGTTACAAAAAAAAAACGTCTAGGTCGCTAACCCCGAGAATCCGAGATAAAACGGGGTCAAAGATGATGAGAAGTCTTCGAGTCCATCAGTGCATCGATTTCCTTGGAGCGCGCTCGACATCGACATCGCGAAAATGATTGTTCGCCACGGAACGTTATGGACGATCGCGGTGCTGGTTCTTCTCGCGAGCGTATCATTTTCGGAATCTGTAAAACTACGAAAACCGCGAAAGAGGACCACGACGAGAACTCCGTATCAACAATCCAGGATTGGACCGGTGATCATAAGAGTGATGCACAAGTATACTGACGATGGTCCCGCGCGTGGTGTATCGGGCGGTTGCACTAACGGCAATTGTAAAAATGCGCACGATAAATTCAATCTCGATGTTAACGAGGCGATATCTGAGAAAGACAATTTCCTCTCGGACGAGGAATCGTTGCGTTACGTCGTACATCCGGAGAAATACGAACATTTCGTATTGAGAAAGAATACAGGACACGCGAACAGATACAAAAGGGACTCTGCATTTTCGGAATTGCATTCATCGGATGCAGGCGATCATACGATGATCGATCGCGGTGGCGGCGGCGGCGACGCGAGTAACGTATCGCGGAATGAGAATAAAGGGAATTTCACGAGAGTTCCGCTATACAGGATTAAATATAGGAGGGATCTTTCGAGATCTTCGAGCGAAGCGGACAGAACGATAAGAAACCTCACTCCTGACTATTCTTCGCGAAGAAACGACAGTGATTATTACGCGCAGCGGAAAGCTGTCATGGAAAGATATTATGCTCGGCAGCGTGAGATAAACGCGCGATACGCTAATCGGACGAACGTTATTGTTCCACGATTGGAACACAACGACGTGTCGCAGCATCGTCCGGCGACGAGCAACGCTACCCTGTTCAATCTCGGGCGTGTATATTCTAGTAAAGACTCGACGAGGGATAGCACGACTTTTCGTCATCCGTCCACAAAGATTGATCCGATATACAGTAATGAATCGCGGTACAACAAGATACCGACCGAACTAGACGGTCGACGAAACGTTGCCCCGGAAGTCGACCTCGGTTTCAAGTCCGATGCGGATTTATCTGAAACGAGAAGTAGCGATAACATTGAAAGAAATGCGCTGGATGATTTCGTCACACCCACTCCATGCACAAATCTGTCCTCATCTGGCACTTTCGCGCCGAAAACGCGATCCAAACACGCTAAAAATTGCACCCGTGAGACGGAGCAGAACTGCGAAGCAGATAACGTGCGTTGATAAGACTAAAATATTACTTTTGTATGAATTTCTAACGTCTCAATTGCAACACTTTTTTCTACGTTACTTAAACACAATAATATATTATGCCTCGTGTTACGGACTATGATTTTGTTTCATTTTCTAGGACAACACCGAAGGCAACCTACGATGGGGAAGATGCGAAGGAAAGATCGTATATCAACACAACCTGCTTCTAGGATTAACGGGTCCCTCGAATCTTGACGCTCTGTTCGAAGTAATTATTCAGGGTCCCGTCTGCATCACTTGCGTACAGGCGTTGCGATATAACGAAACTAGAGCGACGGTCTCGTTAGATTCTGGAGGACGTGGGCACGAATACGCGAAACTCAGGCTACAGGGTTACGAGAACGAAGGATTTTCCTACATAATAAAGGTCTGGGGCGTTAAAAAGATTGGTCAGGTTTGCGATAACGTAGACTAATCGAGGTACAAGTAACGTATGAAAATAAATGAGCCGAATAACATTACGTCACGCATGCGTATAAAACATTTTTTATATAAAAAATTAATATAAGTAATGTTTTTTTATAAATATGTTTGTTTAGTTTCGTAAAGCGAGTAATCTTGAGGTACAAAACAAGCGCTAACATACACGTAAAATACATCACAAAAAGTTCAATATTCTCTCCGTGAAAGATATCTACGGAAATTATGTAAAAATAATCGGAGTCTTGTTCTTCTGGTTCAATATTAGTATAGAACATAGCATTAATGTAGCTAGAACTCTTCAACATTTATCGAACATCTGCACCGTCATGTAGATTGGACATTATATACTCAAGCACGTGCAGTCAAAGTTCAATATAATGGCGTGACCAACGTACTAAATGCCAATTGATTGCACAGCCGCGCCAACGCTCCAACGAGCATTGATTATTCTTCAACGTGTAATAACGAAAGTCTTTATCTTCTTTAAAAAAATAATAAAATAAAATAAAAATTAAAGAAATAGAAGAAAAAACAAAAAAATTTGATACATTTTATCGACATATCTATTCGTGCTTATAATATGCTCATAAAAAAATTCGTAAAGCTTCCCTCTTCACCTATTTATCACTATTATTTCGAAATACTTTCACAACGCTCAAGATCTCTTCGGTATAGAGGTCGGAAGAGGTGGCGGCGGGACATCCGGTATTTTTTCTCTATCGTTCTTCGTGGAGGCTGTTTTCTCGTCGTGGAAGCTCGGTAACAGGTGGCCGGAATCGGCGTTCCTCGGCGTGGTAGCCGGAATCGGTTCCAGGGACTCGTAAGGCTGGTAATCGATGTAGTAAGTGCCAGGCACGAGATGCGGATTGAAGCCATTGTACGTGTAGATGTACGGTTCGTAGTAGAAGGAATGATAGTTCGGGTAGAAGCTCAACGGCACCTGCTCCTTCTTCTTCGCCGAATCCCTCGTATCGCCGTTCTTCGGATCGTTCTCCTTTGCGTGATCGGTGGCCGCGTCTTCGCGGTCCTTCGCGACACCGAAGCTCGTCGACTCGGCTAGACGCGACGTTGAAGAAGAGGCCTGCGTTTGATCATTCCCGGCTACGGCCGCCTTACCATCGGCGGCGAGCAGCGGATAATGGACCACTTCCGGCCCGGCAAAATGAGGCGATATCTGCGTGTAATAGAACGGCGGCACGTATCCGACGGCGGTTCGATGGATGATCGGTTGTATCACAGGGAACGCTCGCGACGGCGACAGATTCTGATTGCTCGTGATCACGGCGTTGTACACCTTTGGTACCTTGAGGAGACCCGGCGCGGCAAACGCGACAGTAGTCAACACGCACAAGATCAGCAGCTTCATCTAGAAAAAATGCTCCCATTAGTCCTAGTAAATTTACTTTAACATCTTCACTGAGCCCGCAATAAGAATTTCAACTCACGTATAAAAAAATAGCCGCAGGATTTTTACATGATGAATATATTTTATGCAACTTATATAAGTTAATTTATAGCGTGTAGGTATTGTTCTTTCTAATAATGGTCTAGAAATGATCTAGAATGTGCGAAATGGTGGACAGTATCGAGAGAAGATGGGAGTGTTTCCGTGGAAGTATAGTTGACACCATTATTATTGTTTCTGGAAAAGTAACCGACACCGGTGCGTGGCGCAAGTGCCTCGCGTGTGAGCGCACAAAACGCTGCATACAAACGATCCAAGAGACACGTGCACGGAATGTTACCCCGGCCGTGCTCATAGGCGTGTACTCGAGATTGAATTATCGCATCTGAATTCCTATCGTGTTTGAAGTTCAAGCTCCCAGAGTGACATAGCTGGCGAAGCGTTACAAAGCCGTGGAGCGAAACAATATTATGCCGAGCGTTAATCATAATCTTTCTTGCATCACATCCTGTTATCGCAATAATATAAAATTTTTAGTAAAAAATATAAAAGATTATTTGTGTAGACAAAACTAAGATAAGGAACCGAAACACCTTGACCTTTCTTCCTCTTCATTACGAGGAAAATATTTTGCGAGACATCCATGCAGATTTATATTCTACTATATCGAAGGTACATATATATGTATATTGGACTAACGTTATCGAGAATACTCTTTAGCCGCCACGTAAAGTCAACAGGAAATAGCTATCGAAGCGGAAAGGGTTGAAAGGTATGACTAAAGCCTGTCGGTTTCACGACACGGCGAGCCTGTCAGCGAATAAGCGAAATCGCAGGAGACGCATGACATTGCACCGGTGAATCACCTCATCAGCATTCGCGGCCTCACGGCGTCATTTGCACATATCACTTCCTACCTCCGATAGGCCCCACGGTCACGTTCACCTTGTCGAATCGGCTCGTCTTCGGTCCTATCGGAGTCACGGTTAACGGGGCGATGCGGATTACCCGCTTCGTGGTACTCACCTTTTCGCGTTGCGCTTATCAGCTTCTCTCTCCTACGCGTTTCCTGTACGGCGGGGAATCCGCGAGAAGCTGACACCACAAGTAGCAAGAGCGCTGCATGGGCCCGTAGTATATATGGCCCATGGGGTCCCAGGGTTCAAGTCCCACCTCCCCCACTACGGGCGACTCTCGGCGAAAGTACTCTCCGATCGCTACTATAATGTCCAACTTCGGACCAGCCTATATCACAGCCGGTAGAACTGTAGAAGGACAGCCGTTTGCGATACGCCTCTTTCGCCGATGCGATCGAGTGCAGCGTACGCGCGAAGGCTTGCCCGCGGAGAACATGCACGTCTTCAAGGAAGTCGCTTCTGAAATTCACCTACACGGATGATTTAATGTTCAGATAGCAGACACGCCATTCTTACATAATTGTGTGAAACGCACGATTATATTTAATATAAATACCTTTAATCCAGACCCTTTCGCTACGCCCGAGGCTACGCCCGATTATGAAGAAAAGATGAGACAGAGAACTTTAATTGATCTATATTTTTGATTGTGTCAAATTTGCGAGGTTTCTTGACCATTATTATCGCTGGTACGCGTTATTATCACTATAATATTAGTACGATCAAGTAGACGATTAAAAAATAAAAACTCTATATTTTAATATCTATACAGTCGATTATTTCTGACATAATAATGAATGCTGAGTTTTATTTTCCCGAGCTGTTATCTGCGAGGTATATTCAATCAGAAGACAAAGTGGCACGTACTAATCATCCCCGACTTTCCAGCTACCAGTTACAAGTTCATAAATAACTCGGTAATAATGCATCGATTTCGTCCGTCTCTCAAAGTAGTTCACCTTGGGTACCTCAATTTGCCTTCTAATTACAGACCTTTATGATAACTGCTACGTGCACTTGAGCACTTGTCCTTGAGCGACACACACGTAAATGTATGTGACAAAAAGGTATATATACTATTTAGAAATGCACAATAACAATGTCTCCTTTTGCACAACGCGTAATGCCAATTTATTACGAAATATTATACAATAATTATCCAAGCGCGATCATTATTAACAAATTACATTTGGACGAAATTTAGTTTCTCTTGGGGAAACTTTTGAGGATATATACGTATGCGTGCGCGTGTGCGTTTAAAATAAAATTCCGCAATTTTGATTTCTCTTGTTTGATAAAAGCGTCCCGTTACGTGTTTACCGTTGTAGTTACTAACGTACGAGTGTGCGAAAAACGAGCGACGAGATGCTGGTACACTTGCGAAAGAATTTTTATATAAATCGTCGTAAAAACATCCAAAATTCCGCGTGCGTGCGTATCGCTCTCGCGCGCGACACGTGGATTCGAGAAAGAAAAGCGTCTCGTTGGAATTCATCGTGCATATAGCTTGATAAGTCAACGCGCTTGAACATCAGCATATATACCTACGTGTGGAAGCGCAGGCACGCGAGACTCTCGAGGTGCAATCATGACGCCTCGCAATTCGCATTATTCTTTGTTTGCCGAACGCGCGTCGTATCGCTTTCGTGGTACAAGCCTATGTCAATACACCTGATAACTACGACGACAAAATCAAACTTTTCAGCTCGGTTTACATTCGCAGCAATCGCAGCATCGTAACGCAAGTATTAAACGCACTGTCATTACAAATTGTAACTAGAACGCATGCACGAATATTTAAAACTACGTGAGCAACTGAAATCTCAGCCTAAATCGCCTAAAGTTCGCGATTGCTCGAGCATTCATTTTGATTGTTCTCGAGTGGCACGCAACGTTACTTATTCTATACACGCTACGTTATAAATTGTTCCAGGTACGATAATAAGATAACGTAACGTCGGCCGCATCCGCGCATCACACACACACACCTATAACAGCTAACGTGACATCCAATAAATCGCCGACCAAAAAATCGATCGACGATTTAATCTGGGTCAGATCGACTCGATCGGTATGTAACAGATTCGCCGCAGCAGCAAGATCGGGAAATTCGGAAGGAAGACGATCATCAGCAACACCAACGGCGACAGCAGCAGCAAAATGTTGGCGTACACCACCAACCACCAGATCGACAACGTTCCCAGAACCGGCTCTAGCATTATGATCCTCCGCCGGTCAAGAGGTCGAGCACACGAGCATAAAAACACGAGTGGGAGCGAGGCACTCGTGAGTGTTCCGAGCTATCCGGTTTTACGAAGGTAAAGCACTCCCCGATCATACTCGGTCTTTCATCGTCGGTACATTCCGAGGGATGCGCTGAAAGCAAAGAAAATCTTTTCAAGTATTCCGCGTCCGTTTTTTCTCTGTAATATATATATTATATATTACAAAGAAAACATTGCACCTTGAAACGTTATCTTTCATCACTACAACATCTGTGTATGATAACTCGAATGTGCAAACATTTAACATAAATTACGCAAATGATGTCGAGATGTCTTCATATTAATAAAATAGCTGTTAATTAAGACTATATATGTCAGCGTATGTTTTGTATTAAAACTATGCCAGTATATTTGTAAGGCAAATTAAAACGCGCGCGACAGCTGCACGTATTGGTAACGTTGCTGTGTTATCTAACTAAACATAGCAGAAAATGATGTGCGAGTTGTTACGTCAACGTATCACGTTTACCAATGTACACTACTCTGATTGCTAATTATGCAAGGATTTCACACACAATATCGTAATAATTGCATAACTCTAGCATGCATGGTGCTAGAAAACATCAAAAATAGTTCTGCAAGTTAAACTAAATTGTCCTAATTTTTTTTTTTAACAAGAAATACTAATCGTAAGAATCTATTGATATTTTTATGTATTTTATTTGCCCAGATTAAAAAAAGAAACGAAGCCAAAATAGATGAATTTGACAATGTGGGGAATGACGTCTTAAAAACCTGCACGTACGACGTTCGTGATAAATTTAATCGTGATATCAAGCGAATTCTTCTGAGAGTAAAAGAGATATTTCTCTCGGAGTTGCTGGCCTTTCCCTCTCTTTTCTTACTTGTTCTGTCGAAACCACGCGATCGCGTCCTTGTATCAAAGATACTAGATTTACCTCGAGACGGGATTATTGGGCAAGCTGAAGCAGTGCGAAATCGAAGAAGACAAGAAGATAAAACCATGTTGAAAGAGAAAGAGAGAGAGAGAGAGAGAGAGAGAGAGAGAGAGAGAGAGAGAGAGAAGGAAAGGAAAAGAAGGAGAGAAAAGGAGAATAGGAAAATGTTTGATGCGGAAAATTATTGCAATCTCCACGATGTACACGTAATATCGCGAGAAGCGTAGTTCGCTCGCATGCGCCAGACATATTGCATTGAGAAAAGTGAAATTTTCACAATTGCATAAGCGCTATATAATGTACTAGCATTCAATGCGACGTCATCGTGTAACGCAATCTAAGTGCGCGATGTAATGTCAATGATCAAGCGTAACAAGATAAGCGGTCTGCGTTTCGCGCCGCGCCGGTTCAGTTAATTGCGAATTACGTAATCGCGCTACCTTCTCAAACTGGAGCGTTTATCAAAGCTTGGGCAAGCACGCTCGTCGTCCATCTGATGATAGGTTTCTTCTTGATAAGCACGTAAGTGAAAAGGAAAGATGAGATGAGACTTGTGTACATCACTATATTATCTATTACTTATCTACTGTTCATTATACGATTGGATTGAGCAAAACAAAAAGAAACGATAAAACGTCCACATCGTAAATATTTTCGTGCGAAGAGTTATAAGTGAGAGTATCAACTCATAAAGTTATATCAGATACGACATACGACGTAACACTCTTCTTATATCGACTAAAGCTTACGTCAAATTACCTTTTACTCCAAGTCTATCGCGAGAATGTGTGTATCCAACGGAGATTGGACCAACATAATTTTCGTGAAAGGGATGTCGAAGCGACAGACAAACAGATCGAGGTTTACTCGCGATAATGCATGATAAACAGTAATACAGGTAGCGTTTAAATCGCAAGCAAGACGAAACAAGTAATAAACTGGACGCATTTAGAGACGAATCTAGGTGAAGACGAATCTCATTGCCAAATTAAATTTTATTCAATTCGCATCTGTTCCCGGACTTTATTGTATTTAACACGGATCTCTGAGCAGTAAATCGTTCGACGACTAGATCGGCATGCCTCAACAAGGCGCGATTGCATCCATTGCATCCTCCACCCTCCACCCTACCTTCCGCTATCCCGATAGCTTCCAAGTTCCAAGCTCCACATCGCGGCATTCGCGGCAGACCGCGTCGCATCAGGCAAGATCGCGACGCGCCCTTTATCCTCTCGCGGCGCGTGCATCCGAGGGATGCATCTGATTGTGAGATGGACGAGCGTCACGACGCGGACAGCGGACATGCGCCGCGGATACGACTCCGAAGCTTGCGAGTTGGCACGGTTGGCATACGCATGCACGCACGCACGACGCACGCACGCACGCACGCACACGCGCACTCCGTTAATTTTTTGGTCCACGATAGCTAAAACTACGCCGTTGCTCCTCGGTCGCTTAAAAAGCGGACCACGCACGAGATGAGTTCGCGCGACGCGAGCAGGCGCACGCTCGCTTTCCGTGGACTGAGAGCGCTTAAAGTTCGCGGCCGGTCTACGGCTCTACGGCGGACTTTCCCTTTCTTTCGGCTCTTTGGAGACCGGCGGCGCCGCGCCGGTGTAATACCGGGACGGGAATGACGGGATCGCGGCCGCGTTAAAGTCGCCGGATTACATATATACGTGCTGAACGCTGCGCTGCGCTGCGCTGCGCTGTGCCGCAACGTGCCGTTGCCGTGCCGCATGAGGACGCACACGCTTGTATACGTCAACCCGATGGCATTGACAAGTTTCACGCCGCGCGCTCGCGCGCCCTGTTTCCTTCGTTCTTGGTTCTTGCTCAACGAACGTGCGAACCGAACAAAGAGCGCAGCAGCCACCAGCTGGCAGGGAGTGGCTGTATAGAATGTATGGACTCGCATGTGAATACAAAGATACGTGTTCGATATCTTCGATGGGCAACGAGCGCAAAACTCAATTAAAATATGTTTTCCACTCTGTATAAAAGATTAGCTATACGGATGTGACAAATGACAAATTATCCTTTTTAGAAGGAGAGGAGCGAGAAATGGACGGGTCGAATGTTGTAAGAAGCTAAAAGTCAAGTTTCTTTTTTAGAGGCTCTGTAATTGCGGTCAAGGCTCTATGTGTCCTTCGAATCTGTGTCTATGTCAGAATCTCACGTGACAAATATCATTTCCATGACAATTTCTCGTAAAATATTAATTTCCTATGTACGTAATATTCGATCGATTCGTTGGAGATTCCAAGATTGGACAGTCGCGAGTAGTTAATTCTAGCCGATATGTTTCTCACCCCAATATATCAAAATATTAATTATTTAATAGGAAATCTTTCCGTAGCATTTCTAAAAATCATCCGTGAGAATGTCGAAATGATCTTATTTCTTCTAGCCAGTCTAGTTGTTGGCCAAGTGTCGCGAAATGCAGAAAGACTGGAAATCGTATAATACGAGTGAATTAACGATGACCCATTTGCAGCATGATTATTCCCGAGCTTACACTTTCCCCCCTTATTCATACCACGTCTACGTGCATCGCATGAAACGTATAAAAGACGGATGCGTACGTAATATATATAATACGTGTTGTATACGTATATAATTATCATTTAGTGGAATGCCAGCGATAGCATAAGCAAGACTCCACACGGTGCGGGAAAAACTCTGAGAAAAATCTCTTTTACGTGTATGTACACCTAGTAGATGTACTAAGTAATCCGGTCGATATCGCGCGTCGAAAAACGACGGATGTTTTCTAGGGGGAACCTTGCGATTGAACGTCTCGCGACAAACAATCCAAGCGATTTAATTTGGCTCCAAACCGACGACCAATCGCGCGTGCGACCGCTCGCTTTTGACGAGGGCAACGCGTCCGAGGTTCATCGTTCTCGCATAAAGATGACCTTCGGATAAGGCTTCGTTCGCTCACCGATGAAGCGCGTGATAATTGGAGCACAGAGCAGTACGCCATTGGCGATCATATCTCTTTTCCGACGTTGCACGTTGCACGATTCTGATGGCGTGCGTGCGAATAAATTTCCCCAGACGAAAATAGTCGATGCTCTCAAATCTCCGTAAGTCGTGGATTTTATCGAATTTAAGAACGCGTCACCATCGTGCTTGGGCATTTATTTCTTGATCGATGCCAATTTATTGGCTTCATAAACTTGGCTATACCACACATTTGCATTTATCAATTGGTCTCTTTTTTCCTCGAAAAAAAGTATTCCAGTATTCGTTGCGTGCCTATACTTTGTTTACAAGTTACGGAATGTAACAAAAAATAGACGCATGAGATATCGTACGTGCATTGATCTCGTTATGATATATATACCTTCTAATATTTCGGTACCATAGTAACCTGACTTTTATACCAATCGTCGGTAATAACGCGCGCGCGTGCAGTGAAATTTGTTCGTCAGATTATAGTAGTAACCTGACTTACCGACCTGATTTATCCGCCGTCGATAATGACGCGCGCTCGTTTATCGAAATATTAAAAGATATAACGATCATCATAGACACAAACACACATCGGCTCGATTTAAGGAATGCAAATTAAATATCAAATGTATTTTAAAGCTATTTTAATTTATACAGATATTATTATAGTTGTCTACTTACGTGTCTTTCTAGAAATGTAGCTGAACAAAAGAAGAAATGCAACGTACTGTAGAGTACTGTAGACATACGAATTAGCATAAGTTATTACAGGATCCAGTTACAACGCAGCCTAGATTGGATTTAACTAAATTTTTTGTGTCTATATGCAAATATTATCTCTGATTCTGATCCATGAAGATAACAAGAAGACAATTAACTGAGAAAATCTCAATATTTTAAGTTAGCTAACCTAAACTATCTATGTAAAAGGCCACGTAATCTTGAATGGCGATCAAATTATTTCTCCATAGATGTTTTTAGAACGTACAATACAATTTCGATTTTTGGTATCATAAGAAAAGAGAAAGATAGGCACAAACTAATGCGATTAGAAAAATAACGTGAATGTTTATACGACTATCCATGCAGGCTTTTTACGATCTTAATCTAGCTCTAGCCTATACACTATATTAATATGCTTTTTTTGGAGAAAATGTTAAGGTTGCGTACAGCGTGACTGTTTTTTTTACAATTTTCGTCGTTTGCAACAAGTATAAGTCGCTTGCTAATCCTGTTACTTCCATATGTGCTCTGAAGCAAGATGCAATCCCAGGAATCCCGAGAGGCTTTTCTAATCGGAATATCAACATGTAATTCGAGAACGGTTGCCGCCTTTTATCTTTATTAATCAGTCTATGTCGCGACGATTAAAAACGATTCAAATTTCACGCTTTATAAATATCTAACACACGAGAAAAAATGTACCTACTGTTCGGTAAATTAGCTTAACGACAGACAATGAAGAACTTTGTCAATTTTAATCAAATTAATAAGTTACTTTCTAAAACTAGATAAATAGGATAGAATCAATGAATAATGTAATTCTAAAATTTTTAAAAATATTAGTAAAATAAGTGAAACATGACCGTTTATGATATAAAATCAATAAGAGAGAATGTCATTTACGATCCGGACTGGATCTTGGTAGTCTAATATAATATTGTGAATATTATGTACTTTAGTATTTTCCAAACTCAGTAATTGTGCACAGATTTTTTTGTTACTCTTAAAACACAGCTAGTTGGATGTTTTCTATATGCATATAGTAAGTATGTAAAAGTAAATTAACATACTTAAATCGACAATAGATATAAATTTCAATGCTAATAGGTAGGTATCCTTATTATATTAAAACAATGGAAGGAAGTTTATTGCAAAGTATCACTGTAATCAGAATCTTCCTGGACATCGTGACCTTTACCAATTCGCCTATAAAAGTGAATTTTTTTTTTAACATCAGTAAAATAAAATATTCCAAGAATAACTGTTCTAATATTCAAATAAAATAGTAAATTTTCTCCAAGTGTGATCCTGAAAAAGAAAGTTTTAAAAAGTTATTGCGAAGAAATTGTTTCATCGTTTATGACGATTGGGGCCCTGAAAAGGGCCAGTTTTTATGTCAGAAGTAGAATCAGAAAATTATTTTTTCGCTGCTTTCGCGGTCTTGGTAGCTGCTGCTTTGGTAGTTTTTGGTTTGGGCGTCTTGGTTTTTGCAGCCGGAGCTTTGGTAGCTTTTTTGGTCTTGGACAAGCTCTTGGTCTGAGCAGCAGCCTTTTGCTTCGCCGCGGCTTCGACCTTCTTCGCCGCTGCGGTCTTGGCGGTCTTCTTCGCAGGTGCCGACTTCTTCTCAGCCGTTGTCTTTTTCGTCTCGATTGGTTTCTTCGCTACGGGCGCCTTCTTCGTAACCTTCTTTTCAGCAGCCTTCTTAGTGGTCGCGCTGGGTTTCGACGCGGCACGCTTTACCTTACTCTTTGGAGCGGGCTTGGTGGTCGAGAGCTTGAACGAGCCCGATGCACCCTTTCCCTTGGTCTGCACCACCGCACCGGACGTAACCGCTGCCCTCAGGTATCTCTTGATAAAGGGAGCGAACTTCTCGCCGTCGACTTTGTAGGTCGAGGCGATGTACTTCTTGATGGCCTGCACGGACGAGCCCTTGCGATCCTTCAGCTCCTTGATGGCGGACGTGACCATCTCCGAGGTCGGAGGATGCGTCGACTTGGGTCGCTGCGCCTTGGCTTTGGATTTCGCGGTCTTCTTCGCAGGCGGTGAACCGGCAGCTGCGTTCTCCGTAGCCGCGGCGTTACCAGATGCGTTCTTATCCTCCATTGCGATATGCGAGAGAGAGAGTCAGAGAGACGTGCAGTACTTGCAGTTGCGAACGTTCAAAGACGAAGTACAAATATAAACTTTCGTTCTAAACGCTCACAGATGACGCTTGGTCGCTTGGCATTCGCGTCCGACTCGTGAAGCGCGCTACTTGTACTGTGAGCGCGTACCATGGAGAGAGGCCCTCCCAATGTTGCAGGTAGCAAGCTGCCGGGAATGAAAGAGCGCCCGGCAATTGTTCGTTGTTTAAACAATATTTTGCACAATGAAGGTCGTGCGCTCGCCACCCGGAATCGTAGAAGCGAGTAGCTAGTTTCGTTTGGTATGCGTTTCAACCGCCCTCCGCGCGAATCGCGCCAATTTTTACGCGGTTCCGTGCGACGCGCGCCCTCGGTTCATTCGCGGGGCTCGATTCAATCCGAGAAATAAGTTAATAAACAATATAATTGTTAATGCACGACGCACTTATGCGGCTCACGGAACGTCGGGATAGCTGTGCTAACCGACCGCGAACGTTTATCCCGAGCGACGCGCCAGATTCGCGCTGAATATTCCAAGTTTCGCGGGTGGCCGAATACAAGCGTTAGTGCAACGCAAAGTGAATACGATTACAAAGTACATTTGCAGACAATTTTACGGAATAGTGTAAAATGTCATTATCGACCGGGAGGGGCACGGATATTATTAGGCTGCAATATTATATGCATAATCGTGAAATTCGTTCGAAGAATATCATATATACGCGGAGGCGGCCTCCTATAACACGCCGATTGCTCCCGTGTAGTTAAACCATATACTGTTATAACGAACTGCATGACAAGATAACGAAACGACCCGTCAAGACAAAATACCTTTCGACGAACGTTAGACGGCCGTGACATCGATAATTTTTCCGAAATTTACGAACGTACGGTGCAATACAATCTCGTAATTCACTCCCCGATCCGCGAACCCGTGCGACGTGCGACTAAAGGAACGTAAAAACCAAGCGGTAACCTAATAATATTTCCAAGCACGTAATTCTACAGACGAAGCGAATTGCTCTACATCGTGAAATCGAAATCGATAATGTACTGAAATTTCTGTTCTTTGATCTTTATACAACGATCTTTTACGTCGGATTTATGTCCGAGCGACGTTAGGGGGGCTCTTACTCGCAGCGAGCTGATTAAATCTTGTGCGCAACACAGCATTACTTGGATTAGTACTTCCAAAATAGTGTTGCAGGCATATTTTCTCATATATTTTATACTTTCGTGGAATTTACAATGAAAAATTATTCACTCTGAGTGCAAAAAATACATATATTTCTTATCTATATTTTGAAGTTCGTGATCGTATAAGAGATACTCGATGAAACTGAGAGAAGGGCAACGGTTTATATTTATTTATAAACAGTTTTAACTGTATTGTAGAATTTAGATGGAAAAATTGGTCTCAAATAAAGGTTAAGATCGCTGTATAATTCCAAGTTCTTGTATTACACAGGATAGGTAAAAACGTAATAAAGATTGCGTTCCTTCCTGTACAGTGTCTTTGTTGTGTCTTTATCTATCCTGTTTATCTGAAATGTCGCTCCTTATCTTATAATATTAACCTTCTAATTAAATCATTTCATAACTAATATATGAATATACATACGTATGTACAATTTTCCTTATTGTTACTGTATACAATTATTTAAGCTTTATGGAAATATTTATGATACCTACATAAATGTGATGTTTGACGATGTTATATGTCTGCAAATTTTCATATATATTTTGTACATACTATATTTGCCGTATTTAAATGCATGTAATATAAAGAAAAAAAATATTGATATAATCCGCAGATACACACATAGATGCGAATACCTGAGCAAATAGCAGCATCAAGAATAAAATAATATTAAAAGCTACACTTCATCATTGATTTTTGTTTTAGAGGTTAGCGTGTATGTCTAAAATAGTTACATGACCTATCCGACAACAATACTTATAATGATTGTTCGTATTTATATTAACTTGTTTACTGTTGTAAAAATTAATAACTTAGTCCGAGTTATTCATATAATAATTTTTCGAAAAATATGCATCTGAAATTACGCTTATGCTAAACAAGTACGCGTCACGTTGACCGAGATTTTATTTCGTCTATAAAGATGCTGCAATTAGATTGTCACTATTTTACCATTTGATCGATTAAAATAAGGGGGAGAACAAGTAAAATCACAATAATAATAAACATTATATCTCAATTGAAGTGTGTACAGATACTTGCTGGCAGATACGTCACATCTCACAATTTTTTAATAGGTTATGTATCAATATATTTTATTAACTTTTTTTTAATGCATTTTAGTGGAACTTTAGTGGAACAGATAAGTAGAACTTGAAGCTGAGAAAAGAACTAAAATATATTAAGATTTCGATGCCTCTTAACAATAAAAATATTTTCTGAGATAAATCTATATAGAGATTCGACGAAAATGTTTTTTTTTGTATCGTATCTATAACTAAAATATACTCTCAATCTATAGAGAGATTAAAAATATATAATCTTACGTAAAATTATCAGAAAATGCGATTTCATGTTTCGCATTTGACATTTGACATTAAATACGATATTTTTCATTTGCTTCTACTACCTAATTTTTATAATAAATTTTAATACTATTTAAGGCCTCCACAAATTGAGGATTATATAGTCGTATTTTATGTTAAAGAGATAATGTACTTATACAAGTAAACATGAACAAATATTTGATAGGACGGACTCAACGATCAATATTCGTATTGAGTATGAGAATATTAGAGAGTATTAAAATGTGTTAGTTTTATTATCATATTAAACAGCGTGATTTATCTTTGAAGTTGAAACGCGAAAATCGAATATTTAATTTTTGTTCCAAGAATATAAACAGCTACTCTCCACTACTTATTAAAATTAATAATTGTTAAAATTATCCTTATTGTTCTGATACATGCTTCATATCCCAGCGAAATCAGAATGTGACAAGTATTTGAATTGAAATCAATTATCTCTTGCATAGTGCATTTTAAGATATTTGTACCTCAGAGGTAAAGAATCTCCTTTTGTCAAAATCGAGTTAATACTTTTTCCAATGTACTAAAAGTTTAAAATTGTATAATGGCAAGTGGTAAAGGGTCATGTGTGTGTGTGTGTGTGTGTGTGTTTCTAGTTCTTAGGATACAATGTTTAGAAACAGTCACATATTGGAACTTTTTATTGAAATAATAAACTTTATAAACTCTATTTTCTCTAAGTTTATAACAATGGAGATACACTTCTTTATCTCTAAGGTACAGGTCTATATATTGATAGAGCATTTTGTTAGGATTTTCATTTTATTTAGAAAAGTAAATATAAATTACATAGTTTTTCGGTTTTTTTTCTGCATGTTCTCTTCGTGTTGATGCAGTACATTGGAAGTGATTTTCTTTAATTTGTGTAATGTATAATATTTATCATTAATTTATCGCTTTCGCTATTATAATGAAATACCAGGCAGGCAAGCAATACGTTTTTATATCCTCGCACATCAAACGTTATGCGAGGGATACTCTTTATCTTTAGAAATATGTTGCGAGGCCGGGGAGAACAGATGAACAGAGTATCTGCCGTTCGCCGTGCGCGCAGCGCGCATGCGCGTACTGCGCGTCGCAGTGTGGTTGCCCCCACCACTGGTGCACCGACCAATCGCCGTCGAGCCCACTTCTCTCCCCAATCGACTCCACTCGTGAGCTATAAAAGCGCTCGCGGAAAGCATTACCGCGCATTTTCCTACTCTACTGACAATCGTTCAGGAAGGTTGTCTCGCAGTCTCGCTCATAGATCGGAAATTGAGGGAATATGGCACGTACGAAGCAAACTGCACGCAAGTCCACCGGAGGCAAGGCTCCCCGAAAACAACTGGCAACTAAAGCGGCTCGTAAGAGCGCGCCTGCCACAGGCGGAGTGAAGAAGCCTCATCGTTACAGGCCTGGAACAGTGGCTCTTCGTGAGATTCGTCGCTATCAGAAGAGTACCGAATTGCTGATTCGTAAGCTGCCGTTCCAGCGTCTCGTGCGTGAAATCGCTCAAGACTTCAAGACGGATCTTCGCTTCCAAAGCTCGGCTGTTATGGCGTTGCAGGAGGCCAGCGAGGCTTATCTCGTTGGTCTATTCGAAGACACTAATCTCTGCGCTATTCACGCCAAGCGAGTCACCATCATGCCTAAAGATATTCAATTAGCGCGTCGTATCCGTGGAGAACGTGCTTAATTAAAGAAGAAAAAAACGGCCCTTTTTAGGGCCACTAATTTTTCATACAAAGGATCATTTTCTTTCGCTTACATGTTTCCCATATTTTACAATCAAGTTTTTTTGTAATATTTTTAAACAAATTTTGTTAACCTTTGTTAGGATATTTGCATTGATAGTTATTTTTAATGCTATACGTATAAGCAATTATGATTAAAATATTCAAATAACTTTGGTACTCTAGATCAATTGTATAAATCATGATGAAATTTCTTATTTTTTTTTTCCTTTTTACTAAAATTAACCTTAATATTTTGCAAGAAATGCCATAATGTAACGAACTCGAAGTCAGAAAATGAATCATGATTGTCACTGTTGAATTCTATTCAGTTTAATTTTTTTACTAAAGATTATATTTACTAATTATATCTCAAACAGATCTCTTAAAAGATAAATCATTCTTAAACAACTTGATTCTCTCTCTACTGAACCAACATTAATAACGTATTTAAGTCTCGCATCACATGATTGTCAGAGTAAAATTATTTATGAAAATGCAGTTTTAGCAACAGTTTTAGGAACACTTATCAAAAATTCTTATATTAAATACCAATAATTATATTTTTATATGTATAATTTTCTATATCCGATGCAACATGCAACTTTACGCGCCGCATGCCGCATATTACACGTACGGCTGCTTTATATATACGCACGTTTGTTCCTAACCTCCATAACCTCAAAAACTTTCACATATTCTTCGTCTTTTAACTATTCATTTTGTAATATTTTATTCACATTTAATGGAAGTTTTATCGATAGTTTTGTGGAAATTATATATTTATAGCAGTCTATCAATCGTAACATTACGTGTATATATTATATATATGTATACATATACCAAATAGTTGCAAGTTCAAGTATGCAAAGAATGAGACAAAAAATATATTCATATTATTTATTTACAATACACTAACATTTCTTAATACTATTAACAGCAATAAAATAATTGTTCTAGAAGATTAATCAGAGAGAATGACTTTGAAATCTTTAAATTGCACAAATGTACACTCAACTAACAATAAGAGCACAAAATATAAATAGTACTTTTTAAAATTGCATGATTTTCTTTGACGCATTATTAAATCTATTGAAATTTGTATTAATTGACATTTTTATATTGAATATTTAAGATTTAAGGTAAATGTACCAATGCCGGGACACTTAAGACCTGTCTGGAGACCTTTATTATTTTACTTTTTAAATAAGTATATCGCGATTAATCGAAGATAAAAATATAATACAAGAAAAATATTCTCATCTTTGATTCTTAAATTTTAATTCATTTTTTTGATAATTTAAGCAAGGACTAAAATAGTAAAATAATAAAAATTTCAGAATAGGTACGTGTCCAGGTATTGGTTGATACTCACGCAGTGGTAAGTGTAGTGTATTGCACATATTAGATATTTAAATATCTTTACTAACTTTAATTTTTAAAATGTTTTTATGATTGTTTTCTGTATAATTACATTTTATAATATATCAATAGAAGACTTATTTTTAAGTGCATACAAGTAAAAGTACAACGAACAGAAATTTTCCAAACGTTTGAAACATTTGTGGCCCTGAAAAGGGCCGATTTATTAGTTGGATAGTAGCCAGCGCTCTTCCCTTAACCACCGAAGCCGTACAGAGTTCTGCCTTGACGTTTCAGGGCGTATACAACGTCCATGGCAGTCACGGTCTTCCTTTTCGCGTGCTCGGTGTAGGTGACAGCATCGCGAATAACATTTTCGAGGAAGACCTTCAACACGCCACGAGTTTCTTCGTAGATCAAACCGGAGATACGCTTGACACCACCACGTCGCGCCAAACGACGGATAGCCGGTTTGGTGATACCCTGGATGTTATCGCGAAGAACCTTCCTGTGACGCTTCGCTCCTCCTTTTCCCAATCCCTTTCCTCCCTTACCGCGACCAGTCATCTTCGACTCTTATGACAACAACGAGCAGCTGACGCAAGAACAAACCAAGTGACGACGGAAACGGCCGCGGCGATCACTTTTATAGTGTAGCCAGTCAGCCTCTCCCCTCTACGTCGACATCAACCAATCAGAACGCACGTCTGGTTTCTCGAGAAATTACATACACCCTCACAAATGAAAAATATTATACACCGCTAATTGCTTTTCATCAGTTGTTCAACCGCTCAATATGCAACGTAAAGAGTAGATATAAGTATTACATATTTCTGTACCTTAGAGGTAAAGAATCGTAATAATCTCCATTATAAGAAATTTGAATAAAACGAGATTTAAGGTTTGTTATTTCTATGAAAATTCCCAATACGACTTTTTCTAAACATTTGTATCTTAAAAACTAGTAATAATGGACACAAGATGCTTCACTGTTATATAATTAAAATTCCTGTATATTGAACAAAAATATTAACTCCAATTTTGATAAAAACTGGAGACACGGACTCTTTTTTACTAAAAGATGCAGATTTATGCTTGATTTCGATGCGATTATGGAGGAAAAGTATAGATTATGAGAAGAAATATTTACTTACGTGATAATCAAATGTAATATTCAATAGCATACAAACTGAATCTGCCTCTAACAATAAGTATTATGTACAAATCTTCCCAACGTCAACGGTTGTTTTTTTAAAGGGCTATTCAGCGTCAGCCGATGTTCTGCAAAAATGTTACTTAACAAGAAAATGTCGTGAATTCGAAAATTCTGATTTCTTAAAACTTTACGAACATGTAGGACGAGGAGAGAGATTTATTATTTAGATGAATTTAAAAATAATTGTGGCTCAAAAATAGTATTAAGCGGTGAAACCATCCTTCATATGTAGAACGGTTAAATTTTTTAACTTCTGAATGCACCGAATATTGTCTTTTATATTACTTGTTAGATTTGGCAATTAAATTATTATTTAAATTGTATTAGTAGCATGCTGATAATAGCAATGCTACTAGTTTTTCTTATAAAATCTGTCGGACAAAATGTGCAATTGGCCACCGTCTAATAATAAAGTTAGATCCATATTTTAATCATGAAATATTAATAAATGAAATTTAAAAGAATGGAGTTTCATTAAAGAAGTTAAAAAAGATAACTTTATATCGAAACCGAAAGAGCGAGGGAGCGCGAAGTAATGTGAATCTTACTCGAGCGCAAGCGCAAGCGTCGACCAATAGCGTTCCGGCAAAGCAGGAGTCGAGCGCTCCTCGTCTGTGATTGGTGCATCCTTGTTGACACTCTTCACTATATAAACACGGTTTTCGAGAAATAGCGCTCATTCGATCCTCGAGTCCCATTCGATTCGCTACGGTGCGTTCGACGTACGAAGACCTTTTTTAAGAAGATTGACCATGCCACCAAAGGCTAGCGGCAAAGCGGTGAAAAAAGCCGGAAAGGCTCAAAAGAACATCAGCAAGACCGACAAGAAAAAGAAGAGGAAGAGGAAGGAGAGCTATGCGATCTACATTTACAAGGTGTTGAAGCAAGTTCATCCCGACACTGGAATCTCCAGCAAGGCTATGAGCATTATGAACAGCTTTGTTAACGACGTTTTCGAGCGCATCGCCGCCGAGGCGTCGCGACTGGCTCATTACAATAAGCGCTCTACGATCACGTCTCGGGAAATCCAAACTGCCGTGAGGCTTCTTCTACCTGGCGAGTTGGCGAAGCATGCCGTTAGTGAAGGAACAAAGGCGGTCACCAAGTACACGAGCTCCAAGTGAATTATCATTAAAGAAACGGCCCTTTTCAGGGCCACCCATTATCTCGTAACAATGGATATTCTCTTGGTTGGAAAAATTTATATTATTTCTCTAAGTTTTCTGTAAAAGCAAGATGTTCAATTTTTTAATCAGGAGGTCGATCGTATATCTTGAAACGAGATGAAAATTACAAAAATGAGATTTACTTAAATCACTAGAGTTATATGACAATTTGTCGAAATTTAGTTTTTGTTTCTTTTTGTAATTTTCTTCTTTTCAAGATCGATCCCTAGAAATTAATGCAGGCAACGGGAACGGGTTTATTTGTTATTCCCAATATTTTTATTTTCTTCCAAAATCCGTGTTTCAATCTTTTGTTCAGTATGTAAACATTGAGGACACTAGAAATGACATTCGTAAAACGGATTCATAAAACAATTGCCACGAATAAGGCACAAAAAGTTGAATACGGGATAATATTGATGCTGGTTGAAATGTATATTTAAAAATTTTTCATCCATAATGATATTAAATTTCTTAGGTTATAGTAGCAATCTGACTTACGGACTCGATTTATTATTTTTAAACATTTGATATTAAATTATAAAAATATTTAATCTAACTGGTAAGAAAGGCAAGAACCAATCATATTAAAGAATGAGCGTTTCTTACCGTTGCTTTTTCCGCTGAATGCCCCCATTATCGACTCAGCAAAATAATCACTATACATATTTTTATGCATACTTTAGATAAAATATTTAAAAGGATATGAACTAATTTACATACAGGATTATTGATTTGAAGTATTGTTATTTACATTAAGAGACTATTTTATTTTAGTATTATTTTCTTTAAGGTTTTAAGATATTAATAAAACAATTTAATAAAGCAGTGATACTACAAATGCATTTTTACATTATTCTTGTAATTATTTTGTTCAGTGTAAAGATTTGGTAAGGTTGTATAGCTAAATGCAAATTGCAGAGTTTGCAGACGCATGCGGACCATGCTGGGCTGCGTTCGGAAACGTCACCCGGGTACACACGGGTATACTTCCTTCTCCTTCTAACTCGCTGAGATAGAAAGAGAAGGGAGTATACTCGTATGCACTCGGGTGACGTTTCCGAACGCAGCCCTGGTGTTGTGAGTAGTGTGATTGAATATCGCTGAAACGATATGCAAACGTTTGAAAAACGCATATTGCGATACTTTTTAAAATACGTGTAAATACTAAATATTGCAAGCAACTACGAACTCCGTTAAATTTTAATCACATGTAACGTAAGTATTATCAGTAATAAAATATGCGCCAGATTAGGTTAGATTTTTGCCTAGGCTTTTTGATGCATCTGTGATAATATTCTAGTCAGTGTCTTTTGGCTTTCTCTCGATATTCCATTGCTTGCAAATGTGAAATCCGTAAATTTGTTTTAATAATCATAATAATCTGTATAATATATTCGTAGCCAAATAAAACGGAGGAATTGCCGATAATTCATAACCTCTTAAAATGTCTGACGACGAGGATTTGGTTTACGTGAAGAAACAGAAAACTGTACATTATGGGTCTTTGGAGGAGGCAGAACGTGCACGACTTGCAGCTGCCGTTGAAACTGCAGATGAAGAAAAGGATATCACAAATTCGAACGATGTCGCTAATGTTTCTGCCTCAGGGGGAAATGTACATATCTCAAACGAGTATATGGAGCTCGAGGACGAAATGTCCAAAGATCGGCAGGCACTATTGGAAGAATTCGAACGTAGGAAAAAGGCCCGACAAATTAATGTTTCTACAGACGACTCTGAAGTAAAGAAACACTTGAGACAGTTGGGTGAGCCAATTTGTCTATTTGGAGAAGGTCCAGCAGATAGAAGAACAAGATTAAGAGAATTATTAGCCAGCGTGGGGGAGGACGCTATTAAAAAGAAACACGAAGAGGAAGAAAAACCATCTCACACAATCGAGAAGGATACGGAGTCAACTTGGTACCATGAGGGTCCAGATTCTCTGCAAATTGCACGGTCATGGATAGCAAGTGAGTCATAATTATACGATTGAACCCTTATAAAAAATCTAAATGTTCAAATCTTTATTATTTTTGTACTGTAAGCGTTATCTAACTTGTATATATTTACAGCGTATTCATTGCCTAGAGCAAAGGCACGGTTGGATAAGGCAAGGCAAGATCTACTATTGCCAGCTGCAACTCGAACAGCGAAAAGACAAGAACTTTTGAAGAAGTTGCAAGCATTAACCATTTATTGCTCTCAAATCGGTGACAGGAGACCCATTTCCTTTTGCCAGTTCAGCCCTAATTCAAAAATCCTTGCTACAGCTTCATGGTCAGGCTTATGCAAGTTATGGTCTGTACCCGACTGTACTTTGTTGCGCACTTTACAAGGACACAATTGTAATGTTGGCTGTATTGTTTTTCATCCAAAAGCTACGATAACCGAAGATGTGGTAGGTGATAATGCAGGACAAACTTGCGTGCTGGCATCTTGTGCGGCAGATGGTATGCATATTATTATAGTAATTATAGTATATAGTAGTAGTGCTATAGCGGATGTGATTGAGTCTCTAGGTCTAAGAAGTTCCTCTGTGACTCTCCACTGGTTTTTTAGACTAAATTGTCAGTCCCAGCTCAATGTTATGCATCAGGCTTATGAAATTGTTCATCCTCTTCTAATTCTTTGGGCTCAAGGTAGTCTCAGGTATCTTTTGCAAACAAATGTAGGACAGCGAGATAGGATATGTAAGCTGTCCCCACTTTCCTTCTCATATGTCTTTTCATACCTGTCTTTCAATAAATCCGAGTGTAAATGAATCTTAAGGGTCACATGTCTTATGAAAAGACTGATTCCAATCATCATCATCAGTTTGTCTTTTTTCGTTGTCAGTTCTTTCGTTGGTGACATCTTATGTCACAAGAACTCTGTGCATTTAAGGATCGTTCAGCTTGAAGAACCGTATGTCAATCTTGGTAGTAATACCATTTTGTATAATGATAGGGCACCTATGAATTTTATTCCCCAAATTTGGCCCATTCCCCTTCTGCATATCTAATGGTGTAGAACTTTTTCTTCTTTTCCTCGAGGTACGATCTTCAATTAAATTTGCTGTCTATGTAGACTCCTAAATATTTTGTTGAATTGGTATATTCGTTTTTCTCATTGGTATATACATTAATCTTCAGAGCCTCAAAGGCTCGATGAGTTCAGATTTGTGTTTTCTGATGAAGATCTCATGGCCGTAGTTTTTGATTAACCGTCAAGTCTTTGGCCTTACATTAGTTTTATGTAATTCTCAAAGCTTTATGCATTAATTCCTTGATAGTTGAAACGCATATTATTATAAATTACACGAAATTATATGATAATGTTATTTGATTGCACCTAAATTTTATAATAGGTACTGTGAAACTGTGGAGCGGTGGCACTGGCGAAGAACCATTAGCGGAAGTGGAGGGCCATGAACCTCACAGAGTAGCCAGGATAGCTTTTCATCCATCTGGACGATTTCTCGGGACCTGTTGTTACGATGCATCTTGGCGATTATGGGATTTGGAGCAACAAGCTGAAGTACTTCACCAAGAGGGTCATGCTAGAGCAGTACACTGTATTAGGTATATTTCCTCGAATATATTACTTATTTAATTTATATATTGATCTATTTTAATTATGTATTTACATATTTATTTATTTAGTTTTCAATGCGACGGAAGCGTTTGCGCCACAGGTGGTCACGATTCTTTCGGCAGAGTATGGGACTTGCGTACCGGTAGATGCATAATGTTTATGGAGGGTCATCTAATGTCAATTTTCGGTATCGATTTCTCGCCAAACGGTTTTCACATAGCGACGGCGAGCGAGGATAACGCTTGCAAGATATGGGACTTACGAAAGAGAACCTGCATATACACGATACCAGCGCATACCAATTTGCTCTCCGACGTCAAGTATCAGAGAACAGAAGGGCAATACGTGGTTACCGCATCTTATGATAATACAGCCAAAATTTGGTCCAACAAGACATGGCAGCCTCTCAAGATGCTACCTGGCCACGATGGAAAAATCATGTCCGTTGATGTGTCGCCCGATAATAAATTTATTGCAACTAGTTCGTACGACAGAACTTTTAAGTTATGGGCTCCAGAATGAAAGACGAGAGAATATAAAAATTTATCTTCTTAGGATTTTTTATGTAATATTGCATAAAATATTTATGTGGAAGCATCTGATTTGTTCATAACATAATTGCAATTTTGTGGAAATTGCCATATTAATTTCATATTACAATCATGTAATTTTGTATGACAAATTTTTTTATAAAAATGCATACATCTGAAAATGTGTAACATGTTTTTCGTTTATATTGGAAATGTATTTTTTGTTCTCTGAGAGAAATATGTCTTCCGTGAAATGGGTTTTATAATCGGATATAAACTTTTGACGTTATTTATAACTAGGGCAGCTGCCTGTTCAATAGCGCACTGCTGTTGTGCCGACGTTTATATTCAACAAAGAGTCACAAACGCGTTAACTGCAGGATCCAAACTCTCGTGCCTAGGTTTGTTGAGTGCACGTTCAGAATGAGTATCGAAAGAGGAAGACTTCACAACTGTTACGTTATTAACAAAGTTTCGAAATTTTGAGAACGACAATACATCCTTCAGAACTTCTATGATTCTTGTATCGTTCTACTGACAGAGAGAATCACTATTTAAGATGTAATTTAGCTTTTTCCATTTTCAGTTGTGTTCAAGTGTCTGTTGATATTACGTACGGAATATATTTTTGCGTATTAACAAAAATATTTATTATTTTGGGATTATGATAAAAAATTGGGTGACATACTCTAAGCTTATAATAATTTGTAATATAATTAATTTATTAATATCTCATTGTTAGATATATCGAAAATTATATCTTTATGAATCCGGTAATTACAATTATTCTAAATGGTATCACAGCTATTATGCCTATTATATAGCTATGACGTCGAGCTATTCCTATTCCATAAACGCGAAAATTTCCTATTTTATAAATATTTTCGTTGTCAATAAATTATACCGATATAGTTACGATTTTAAATTTTGATTCGGTACATATACAATATCAAAAGTGATTAGATAAGATAGTATTTAATTTAATTTATTTGTAGTCTATTATGCCTGAGTTTGTTTCGATTTATATCTCCCGATATCCGATATGTATCGTATTTTTCTTTTAAAAAAGCTCATTCGTAGTATTTTATGAACGATTCTAGCCATCCCGAGATCACAAAGTTCGAAGTAATCGATTCACGCTGATTCTGCGAGAGGTAAAGATTGATGAAGCCAAGTTCTGGTGCCTCCTTCAGCAAAATCCGCGGCCGTGTGTCCATCGCCTTTCAAAATCCATTTTGTCGTTAATAGCCCATCCACTCCTACCGGACCACGTGCGTGGATACGTGTTGTGGAAATACCGACCTTCGAAAAAGAATCATATATTTATATCTCCCGATAATAATTTTATATGCATATTAGTGGAAAATTATTTTATCTATAATTTTTAAGTTACGGACATTTATATCATTTTGTAACTTTGTAAGGACATACGTTACAATTGGACATGCTGTTCCAAGTGATTTTATAATATAAATAAAACGAGTTTTTTTTCGTTTTTCAACGAGAATACTAGTTTTGTCTCGAGGGTCTTACCTCCGCTCCAAGACCGAATCTATAGCCGTCTGCAAATCTAGTGCTGGCGTTATGGAAGACACACGCACTGTCTACCTCTCTCTGGAAATGCGCCGCTGTGCTGGTATCCTCGCTGACAATAACATCGGTATGGCTGCTACCGTATTGATGAATGTGGCTGATGGCATCGTCGACGTCCGAAACGACTTCTACGGTGCATTCGAGTGCGCCGTATTCGGTTCGCATGCTTTTCGCGGCGGGCGGACCGAAGGTCAATAACTCTCTTAGCTTTGGACCGGAATTGATTTTCACCTGGGAAATATTATTTTGTTATACATCCGGAAGTAATAAAATTAATGTTATATGCACCATAAAGCTTTGATTATGATGAGAAAGAGTTTTAATAAATGATCGGAATAAGAGAGTAATACTGAAACATTAAATTAACATATAGAAAATTTTCTTCCGTTTATACTCCAAGAAAAGATGTAGAAAAAGCCAATCTTTTTTTATTCCGTCTCAAAGGAGGCAATATATACGTTTTAGTGTAACTTGAGTATAAACTTCTGACATTTTGTGAAATCCCGGTGAAAAGTTCTTGATGAAAGTTTTGCTCACGAGCGCGAAGTACACAAAATACTGCAGCGCGACACGAAACAAGAAACTGAGAAGAAATAGTTTTTTAAATTCTTAATCCTTTGGATTTCTCAGAGCTACTACCGGCGCGGCGGATCCTTTGATCCTCTTAAAAAAACTAATTTCAAAAAATAAAAAACGAAGATGATATATAGGATTCAAGCGGAGAAAGCTAACTCACCCCTTCTTTCTTCAGCATGCTGCACACGTCGCTAAAGAAGCTGCCGCTCATAAGGCTTTCGTGTATCAGTAACGTCTCCATAGCGTTGCACGCAGCGGGATAATCGCACTTGGAGTCTCTGATGATTTTCATGGCCTTCGCAATATCCGCGTATTTGTCGATGTAAACGTGACAGATACCCTCGGCATGTCCTAAGACGGGTATATGTTTAGACTGTTCTTGGATCGTGCGGACCAACTCCGAGCTACCGCGAGGAATGATGAGATCTATATGTTTTTCCATTGAGAGAAGATCGCCCACATCCTCCCTCGTGGACACGAGGGAAATAGCGTTCGACGCGCCGAACTTTTCCAACGCCTCCTTCACGAGAACCATCAGATACTTGTTGCTGTTAGCGGCTTCTTTGCCACCCTTCAGGAGAAGCCCGTTAGCGCTGGACATGGCCAGAGCGGCTACCTGAGGCAGGCTATCCGGCCTGGATTCGAAGATCACCAGCAATACCCCGATCGGCACCGTTATTTGCGCCAATTCCAGACCATCGGCCAATCTGGTCCTACGGACCACGCGGCCTACGTTGTTCAACGAATCGTCCGCGATTTGACGCAGACCGGAACTCAAAGACTTGAGCTTCGCCGGCGTTAGAGATAGACGCGATAGCAGGACTTGCGCCAGATTCTTCTTACTCGCGTCCTCCAAATCCAACGCATTCGCCGCGAGAATCTCGGATTGTCTGGACTCGAGTAAATCCGCGAGAATTTTGATGCACTCGGCTCGTTCCTCCGGGCTTAACGCCTGTAGCTTTCTACAGCCGACGCGGGCTGAAATTTTATTCGCATTCGTGCAAATATAATTATCTAAATATCAAAGTAATAGAGACAATAAAGCTTAATGTGATGAGCGTTCCGCTTTCAATCGATCTTATCTCGTGATTGTTATATATCTTTGCTTATCTTTGCGTATGTATACTGTAAGATTCTTAAAAAAAAAAACCAATCTTGAAGTCTTAAAGTCGAAAGTTAAAATATTACCGTTTTCGGCGACCACCTCGATAGGAGTGGACGAGCCGGCAGCCTGCGTGAACAACGTTCCGATCTTTCTGCCCGACATGATGCTCTTAATAGCCTTTTCCTGGGTGCCGTTGCAGATGACCACCGCAACGCCACGATCCATTGCCCAGAGAGCGGCGTTGACCTTCGCGTCCATGCCGCCTGTGCCTACTTTCGACTTCTGTCCGAACTTGATGGTACCCCTCAGATCGGAGCTGAAGGTGTGCAGCATCCTCGCGCCGTCCTGCCAAGGTGGAAGATTGTAAATTCCGTCAACATCGCTCATGAGGATCAGCAAGTCCGCTTGGACTTCAGCCGCTAGCATGGCTGCCAGGGAGTCGTTGTCCTTGATGGATATTCCTCGTCTGCCGCCACCGCCGGCGACTTCTTCGTCGACGTCCGGTGGCGGAGACACCGCGTCGTTCGTGTTGATGATCGGCACGATGTTCAGACTGATCAGTTCGCTCAGCGTGCTAAAGAGATTCTTTCGCGTCTCTTCGTTGTAAAAGTCGGGCTTGGTCACCAGCACCTGCGCGATTTTGACCCCGTACTGGGCGAACATCGCGTCGTAGAGAGACATGAGACCTGATTGACCCACTGCGGCGGCTGCTCTAGGTTCTAACATAGTTCCTGCATTAATATCAAGGATGTGTTATCCAATGTATTTTCTCTTCGAAAAAATAGTAGTAGTAATCAAGGACAAAGAATCCTATAGCACAACTTGGTAGTTTTAACTTTTGGTAATTTTTGGAATAATTAAAAATAACTTTTGAGGAACGCTAAAACGAAAGAGAACAAACGTAAGAAAACAAGCGGACAATTGGCAAGACATTGAAGAAAATTGCTCTCGAACGTGCGCATCGATCGAAAGATGCACTCGACAAGGTTCACAGGACAAATAGAATCCCACAGGAATTCAACGTCGGACAGTTGTGTTAGATCAATATATATGTATATATATATATATATATATAGAGAGAGACAGACCGGACATTGTAGACTTGGCAGGCTGCCCAGACAGATATTTGAAACTACTATCGAAACATTAACACCTTTCGCTTGGGTATTCTTACAGACAGTTGAATTTATGGACGATCGACTTGTTTCTTCTTTCCGGAATCTTCAAATGGTTATTTATCATCTCGAGAAAGAAGCTCGTTAACTCTCTTCGCAACGGCTTGACAGTACAATTTATTGAAGAAACTTCTTACTCTTTTCCACTATACACTTCAAATAATACGCGTATCATTTTTCTTTACGTAGCTCTGTAATTCTTTAATAACTGGGTGGATATTAAAATGTATAACCCAAGGTTGATTCGCTCGCCTGTCTCGTAAAAATATTAATATCCCGCCTGTGAATTGTTTATGCTATATTGTCTCTGCTCTCCACACACGTATACCGTACTAAATCAATGAATCGTTAGCGAGGAATAGCCTTGATTGCAATACCAATAATAGAGCATTTCTATCACGTACATCAGCGGAGAGGAAATTCGTTACTGAGGAAGTTATTGTCTTCCTGAGGATCGATGCATATTAAATGCTCCCATGAAATATTCGTTTTTATACGAGAATAATAATGCAACGAATAAATTATTATTCGTGCTGTGCCGACAGCCAATTAAAAGTTTTGTTAGCTGCTTCAAATTAAGATTTTTTTTTATAAACAAATCTTTTTAACGTCAGAAAATTTATTTCAAAGTTAACACATTTTATGTAATAGGTATAATGTATTCTATCTAGGGACATACGATACCATCATCATATTATGTAATGCTCTTTGAGATAGCCATTTTGTAATAACAACATTACGTCTCGTAACATATGCAAAATGATCGTCCTATTTCATGCAAGCCATACACTGACGATTACACGTGCTTTAAAATAATGTGCGTGTAATAATGCTACCTACATATAATATAAACTCGGAGTGAAAATTACATTGATAAAATAAATACCGCATTTTTCCAACCTCATTATCATTCCTTTGTACACATCGACTCACGGTATATACTCTTAATGGTAATTATGAGAACATTATTGATTAGAGGCATTATTGTTGTTTGACCGGTCTCTCACAAAGGGGAATAACGTAAACTACAAGATTATCGCATTTCGGTCTCAATTATGCTAATGGCAAATTCATCCGTGTAATACGTATGTACGAAATTCGCCTCTTATCATCGGTGCATGAAAATATTAATTAAAGCGGACGTCTATCGAGTGCGTCGCAACCTAGATATTGTGCCTGATGGACAAACGTGTGTGCGGGAGAACATGAAATTGGCACGGTATACTCCTGCGGCACGTATGTACCGCGCCCAACATTAGCGCGTTTTAGTGGCTTATCTCAGGAAGAGTAAAGGTTTATTACTTATGAAACAGGTCAACTTAATTGAACTTGAGAACTTATATGATCAAAACCTTTGAGCGTGTAAAATTGTAGCGGCTAGGTAGACTGCATTCTTACGAGATTACGATACAAATCGTCAACGTCAAATTGTCGAGATAAAATTGAAAAGAATATCGGAGAGGTATTAATATCTCGGTGCCAATTAATTTTTATACAAGCGGGAAATTTGTCAGTATAATTTCTCACTATTGTCATAAAATGTAATGTTAAATAACCAATTATCTTAGTAATTATTTGATTAATTATTCCATTATCAGACCAGGAATAGTTCCCAATAAGCATAACGTAAAAATTGAATTTGGAATGAAGAAGAATACCTGCGTGTTCCCGCGTGTGATCCGTGGGGCTCAGGGTCTCTCTCATCGACATGGACATCAAAAGCTCCTGGGTGAGCTTCTGCTTGCCAAAGGCAACCGCCCCGCTAGTGACCATGATGCATTCGCGTCCGTCGATCTGGCATTCGGCTACCTGCTCCACGATAGAAGCCAGACGTCCAAGAGCCAGGCCGTGCTCGTCCTCCCGCGTTATAACCGCGCTGCCGAGTTTGATGACCAGTCGACGGGCGTATTTCAATTCGCTGCGCTCCGTAAAGGTCTGTTGCCTTCGTGGTCTCTCCGACGTTTGTAGCTCCCTTCGCGACACGCCATTACTCTTGAAAAGTTTTTCATGATAAATGGGATAAAATCGCGGTGAGGGAAAACAGCTGTAAGCAAGAAAGAGAGGGAAAGAGACACAGGATAAAGTCTTGAATAAATTATCGTTTCAATGGGGAAGAAAAGGTTAGGGTTAGATTAGGTTTACCATATTAATCGTTGGCTAACAAATACTTGTCACATATGTAAGTACGATGTTATTGCATGCTTGCACTGCACTCTGTAGTCTGTAGCCTGTACGTTTATGCAGCAAAGAAGTTTAGCATTGGAAAGTTTCGAGTCTTCATCAAAGAAATTATGAAGTTTTACAACGATGTAAGACTATAATAAGTATAATAATGGAGAATAGCGCTAAAGCGCGGCGAGAATGGAGAGGAAAAGGAGCCGGAGCTTATGCTTAGATAGATTATATTCATTTGAGTATACTTACGCGGTATATCTAATAAAGTTTGCAAGAATATATAAAGTTAAATTACGTCTGTAAGCAAAGCTGATTTTTTTCCCCGTAATCGTTGAATTAGTCAAAGTACAAGGCGCGTGGTATTTTCCAAAGTGTTATTTAAGCATAAAGATTATCATTTGTCTTATCTTTATGTGTGGCGATGTTACTGATTCATCATTTTTACTACGTTTAATAAAATATTTATCGTTAACGTTTGCAATTGCGGGCGCAATGCGCGATATAAAACAAGTTTTATTTAAATCTTTCCTAAATTTTTATCTATATATCTTATTTTACAATCATGAACAAAGTGTTGATTAATCAAAAAACTAATCCAGTTTGGAGAACTGAAATGAACTGGTCACATATTTGACAAATTAATATTAAAGATTTTATCTTTATATCGCATCTTTTTTGATAGAACAACAAACTTAATTAAGATGCATATCGATATTTTCTCTCATTGCATACTGATAGTGATTTATTGAGTTAGTGAAAAATAATTTCATATTAATAAATTATCTAAGGAACTTTATATAGGAAATGATAATGTATCAGATGTTTACAATCTGTCTGTGTGATTTTCCATATCTTATTTTCTCGCTGTAAACTTGATAACACGTAGCAGTTATAATACACTCAAATTAACAAGGAATGCGATACAAGTCTCATATACTTCCCACGTTCAAACGTACGTCTTTATGATACAAAAACAAACACAATTGCTTGTGACATAAACGTAATTTTTGCAACCGAGGTAGGGATGTTTCCCGTTATGCGATTACCAATTGCGCGTTATAAATCATATTATAATCCGCTTATCTTTGCGTTCTATTTTTTTTCATGTATCAGTTCCTGGCTGTATAATTACTCGAGACAGAGAGACACGTGCAATTTTTCACACGTATGCGTGGTGTGGAATTTATCGGTACGTATAATTGTTGCGGAAATATTGATAAGCACACCTGGCATTATTTTGATGCAAAAGATATTTTTATTACAATGATGCAAAAGAAAAACGATAAATCCAAAAATAATATAACGTTGTATTTAGTTATATATACGTACACGCGTAGGTAAACGAACCACTAATAAATCTCGTAATTACTGACTCTGTTAAGAAATTTATTAATTATAATTTATATAATGCACGCACACTAGCGAATGATTAAAACAATAATTTTATTTATTACGTTCCCAGAGAATAATATTGATGATATAACAATAATATTTGTTTTAGCTTTATTATATTATTATTGATATTATTATATCCTTCATTTTATTATTTACTCCTTTTTTTTAGCTCATAACAAACGCTCTTATCGTTATAAAATAATCACGACCGAGATGCAGAATTGTAGATGGATAATGAATATTTTAGCGGTAAGTCTCGAATTTAACTCAATTTTAATTCTGCTTCTAATTTAATTTTAATTTTTGATCCTTTTTCTTTATCTTTTTCGTTTTTCATATATTTATAATAAATCAAGTTTTGTCCTTTATCCGATATATACTATAACTAGTATTTTATACTAGTAAATGTCATCCGACTTGTATACGCATTCGATGTCTAGCCAACATCTATGCGTTATCGCTGCAGCTCGCGTCATGCGCTATATTATCACGATCTAACTTGAGTACACGAAACACTTGTAACAGTACGAGCGTATCGATACCCCCTGTAAACTGTGCCAGTTATCGACAAAATCGGTCATTTTTCGACTTGCAGGTTTGTATGCACGTTCGACGATAGTGGACGAGCAAAAATACGTTCATTTCCCAGGAGGCCTGCAAGGTTTCGTCGACGGACAATCTGTTGCACCGCATGTTCGTATCGGTGGTACGACGTAATGGAACTCGTTGCACACGTCGGTCCACGCTGTACTCTTCTTAACACCATTTCGAAACCACCTCGGCATTGTATGCTTCACGCGGGCTTGGAAAGACGATATATTGGGTGTACCGGCGTAGCTTTAAAACGGGCGCGATCTATATGAGAAGTCTGTAGAGTCAAGACCCCGTAAATATACTCATGTAAAACCACGTTATCGCAGTTTCTCGAATTTATGGCTGGTCGCGTTGCTACAATAGTACAATGTTATCTCGAGTACTCGTTCCGCCAACAAATAATTATGATAAATAAGTACGAAGTCATACATAATAATACCACGTACTGTTAACTGCGGCAAGAGTGGTCCCAACGACGAGGTCAGTCTTCGTGGCTTATTACCGAGCCGGGCGGACCTCGTTAGTAGCAGAATTGAGTACATTGCGGGTCCCCGGTATCTTCTTTGAAGCACGATTAATTCAGCCCGTCTCCCTCTTTCTCTTTCTATTAATTCTCAAATAGTTCCGGGATCGGAAGTTGTCGTCCGAAAAACTTGCGTCCGAAAAATTACAATCTAACGACTATCTATTATTCTAAAAGACGTCAACAAAACGATCCTAAGTCGCGTGTGAAAAGGTCGTTTACCTGACGTAGCAAAATATACGGGAAAAAAGAAAAGATGTCAGCACGTTCAACCGCACGTTACAGATATCCGCTCGCCGGAAAAAAAATGTCAATGTAACATAGAGTAGAGTGATCTGACTTGTTTGCTGATTCTGCCGAGTTGGTAGAAAAAAACAGAGGGAAGACAAAAGAAATAAAAAGAGACGGATCGCGCGCGAGATGAGAGAGGAGAGACGAGGCTGATATCGTACCTCGTCTCCGAGGTAGAGCGGCCGCAGCGATGGTCAACGACACACTACTGCTTTCTACACGAAATCACTTCGAAAGACGTCGTTATCGCGGCCAGATTAGAGACGCATCGAGTGAACGCGAATCATGTCAGGGAGAAAGCCCAGAGGGAGGAATCTCTTCCGTCGGGGATACCGATCCGGGCGACGCGCGACGTCGCGCACGTCACGCCCGATCGTTTTTCCGAACGTTTCCCAATCGCCAGGGTTCCAGGGTTACGCAAAGTCCGAGTTAATACGAACGAGAATCGTCTTTGTGCGATCCGCGTCGTCAGCGAACTTCGACCCCGAAGATTGCGAATCGAGCAAACAGCGCTGCTGATAACGTACCCATTCTTTTTCGACTTTGCGTCACAGCGTACGAGCGAGTCGATCTACATCCGATAAAGCTGATCGAATACTGCATCGACGAAATAGCGTTTCAAGCGCGCATTACGCAACGTGCACAATTCAATATTTACCTATACGTGTGCTTACTGCCCTATTTTTATACAATTGCGATAGTAAACGAAACATTCTTGATCATGACGTAAAATCTGAAGCGATCTAAAGCGATACCTATACGCGTGTATGTATATGTGTATGCATGAAGAGACCTAAAGTGTTTGAGCATGTATCACTGCTACTTGTGTTTTCCAAGGTTCTTATCGGATTTATAACTTACCACGTGTCATTACATCATACAAAACGTGATAGATATTATATTTTACTTTATATACAATATGTACTTGCGCATGCACACAATTTATCAAAATTCCTTTCGATTGGCGACACGTAAAATCCAAGCCACGTTTCTCTTACGAAATGCGATGTTTCTACTAGACGTTACTAGAATGTATTCTTGCAAATAAATTTCGCTCGTTTATGGTTTCCGTAGAACAAACATGAATATCACGGAGAAAGAATTTCCCTCGTGGGAAAATCAACTGTAGAGCAACGAAAAAAGAAAAATAGAAAAGATAAATTTAAAACATTTTTCAAATTAAAATATATTTTCATTTCGACACGTTTAGAGTCCCTCATATGTAAACTAATAACGCATATGATGCATTTCCTTTAGCAAATATATATAAGCGGTGTCCCACAAATTATCACATGTGTGAGTGAATTATTCTTATTGTTCTATCAACAAAGTTAATAATGTCAGCGTAACGTTGATTAATCATATCAAATTAATTATTCGCTCAAATTACCTGTGCGTAAACAGAAACACATAATTCATTATACGTATGTAAATGGCGTGGAAATTATTGTAAAAGCGATCCATCAGCGAAACGAATTCGTTGATGAAGAGACCTGTCAGCAAGAAGGGTGACAAGCAAATAATCGAAATTCATCCTTCTTGCTCCTACTTTTAACTTATAAATAATCCTCTTTAGGATCTCCTGTCGCGCGCGAGCGGCTTACAAGCTGAATGAAAGCTTATACAAAAGTATACAATAGGAATACTTCACAACGCTGTCCGAGTTCGATAAAATCCCTTTAACCACGGTCTTTCTCGTATAATGCATAATTCTTGTATAAACTACTAGCTGCTTTAGCTTATATTTATTAACCAGGTTTGCTCTAACAGTTTTAATTAACGAACAAACTTGCGTTTTGAGCGAATACATTATATTATATCCTAAAAACTTCGATCGGTATTGAACGCAAGACGCCTCTAGTAGGTACATTACAAATGCTCTTGATCGCAAACTTATTACGCAACGAATGAATCGAGATATTAAGATGATTGTAATAATTTGGCCAATCAAAATCTTTTTGGCGTAGATTTATATAATATATATCTTTCTTATAGAGAAAGCAGCGAAGTACGCTTGTTTACAGTGCAATCCACGCATCTGGCAGTTAATTTCGATAAATCTACGCTAGATTATAAATCATATGACACAATATGTCCTACTGCACGCCAATATCGGCATCCAGTACGTCCTTCTCATTATCAAACGTATTGTATGCGCGGAACTATCTGCTCGTTATTGTCAGCGATCTGTCGCGATTGATAGGGAGATGTTTGAATGCCTTCGATGGTTTACTTGGTGTCGATTTGTCTGTTATATGTACGCCAATCCCTATTGTACATTTTATCTGTTAGCTTTCATATTCAGAGCTTGTAAACCACTCGTGACGGCGGAGGAGCCTAAAGAGGATTATTTATTAGTTAGAAACAAACGCAACAAAATGACTTTTGATTATCTGCTTGTCAGTTATTCATCTTTTCATCGATAGATCTGTCTCGTTGATAAATAATTTTTATGATTTCTATGATTTTGCGAGCCATGAATTATGAGCTTTTGTATTACGAATTGCGAAAATCCAGAGCTGTCTAAACGTTATAAATTACCGCGGCTAAGAGATAAGAGGATAATATAATTTTATATCCCATTTTTTGGATGTGGGTCATGTGGGATGTAAATTCTGTACAAATTCGTTTATGACGATGTATCAAAAAGTTGATAGAAAGCAGACCGCGTTGGTTTACATTTTTGTTATAAATATTCTGTATTTTTAAACTGATAAAACTTTGGTGACATTTGAATATATGTAAATAAGTGTGTTTCATAGAGTTTTTGATAGCGCACACCGTTCTTAGTGGAGCTTTTAGAAAGTTTTTACAGTGCAAGGTACTTGAAAGTATAATCCTTTATCTCGTGTATCATTTATAAAGTTAGAAATTCTATGACATCCATGTTCTCTCCCGGAATCAGATAACGTGAGAGAAGCAGATTCAGCTTTAACAGAATCTCGATTTAAATATCAGATGTTTGATTCTATTGTCTGCTGACGATTAAAAGGTCGTGTGAAAAAGAATAGTCTTTAATTAAATTTTGTATTCTGAGTCTGCTTTTTAAAACGGGGAGAGGTACGTGATCTCTTCATATATAAGCGCCCTTGATTCTGGCACGATCTGTGAATCGTTTATTTTATACGTTTCGCAATAAAGATAACGTACTTATTTAAGTTCCCATCGCGCCGAGTAATTAAAGCTCCCAGATAAGAAAGCCCGATGCAACTCCCATACGAGGGGTAGCCGTTTCCGAGTAACCTTACCGAATTGAGTTTACCGCTGTTAAACCACGGCGCAACACATCGACGCGAAAAATCGAACATAACACAAGCCGAAGAGAAAAAACGATTGAACGAGCGTGAGGTTAACGACATCCGACAAGAAGTTTCTGCAGCCGCGGAATCATATCGCGCGGCTGAAGAACGAGAAAGAGAGAGGAGAAAAAAGAGAAAGAGAGAGAGAGAGAAAGAGGGGGGACAGGTATCAAGCGTATCAAGTAAGGGAAGCGCGCGCGACGCGCTTTACAAAAAGCCTTCCCTTTCTTTTATCTTATCCCCCTCTTGCGAGAGCAGCATCCCCTTCGACGTGCGCTGGTCTCTAACTATCTCGTTTTTACCCTTTCCGCCGGATCTTTCACTCTCTCCCTTTGCCTCCCGTAGAAAATGAGAGAAAGAGAGAGGAGAGAGTTCCTCGCGTTCGACGGAAGCCTGCGCAAAGCGGCGGGTGCGCTCAAACGAGGAGCAGGAGCAGCATCGGGCGGGCGCGCGGTCGGCGCGGTGGCGGAGTGCGGACGTTGGCGCCGTCACTCGTCGTCGTCAGTCGTAGCGAGGGAGCGTGGGAGCGTGGGAGAGGAGAGGAGGACCGAGGGAAGCTGCGGGTACCGGGCGAGAGCGAGAGGGTACGCCGTACGCCGCGCGCGGCGACCGATCAGAGAAAGAGGGACCGGCGCGGAGGCGGGGGCGAAAGGGTGGCGGAAGAGAGAAAGAGAGTACGCGTTCGCGTCTTTTCGACGTCGACGCAACCGGGTTGGCGCAGAATAGCTGCTCAGTGCTCGTCGAACGGCGCCGCGCTGCGACGGGACGATGCCGCCGCGCCCTGCGCCACCGATCGACCGATCTCAGGTACGAGAGAGGAGAGATTATCGTCCGCCGGCGAAGCGCGAACCAACGAGGTCCACCCCCGAGAGAGCTCGCCGCGGCGAGCCGCGAGCGCTCTCGCGGAAGTTCTCCCGCGACCGCGACGATCGACGCCGCGACGGTGCGATCCGCGAGAGACTAGATACATGAGATCTCTCAGGCTCCTCGACGAGAAGTCCTCGTCGTCCTCGATCGCATCGATGCGGCATGATCGTCGCGGCGAGTCCGCGAGAGGGTTGCACCCGGTGACCGAAATCAACGCGAACATCTTCTTCCGCGATGCATGCTCCATGAAAGTTCCGGACTCCGGAGTGTCTGCCGCGAGGACCGCGGGGCCGTTGTCTCGACAGATTTCCTATATCGGAATCTTCGGTATTTCTTGTGATCGATCGAGAGTCATTCGCGGGCATAGACGTGTCTCGCCCTCGAGGATCATGTATTCCCGCGAGTTCCGGGTTCCCGCCGCGAATTTTTGTCCGATCCACTTCGTAGAACGAGAGATCGCCCGGGGTAGATAGGTAGGTAGGTAAGTGACGAGGGAAAACGAGTCCTCGACGTCCTTCGTCCCTCGTAATTTGCCCTATTATTTCCCCGGGGGTTACCGTACGATCTCGCCGCCGCCGGCAATCCATACCCGCGACTTCGGACGGCGCTATAAATTAGTGTACTTTGCTCCTTCGCCTTCGCCAGCGATCTGAGCGATCGCGAGGAAGTTACTCCTCCGAAGGATACGATGCTCCAAGATCGGTTGCATCGAGGTGAACTGACATTAATTTCTCTTATTTTAATTTTTCGAGCTTCTCTCGCGATGTGTAACACTCATAAAACCTACACCTTCGATATAAGACTACTATTCAGAGAATTCAGAGTCTGTGCAGATTCGATCGAATTATTCTCGAAAGTTGTTCCAAGAGTTTTCTTGGTCTTGTTTTGGCGATCGCGCATATATGGGATAGTTTGTCGTTTGCCGGATGGAAGACGAATTCTTCTCGACGGATTCGATGTGTTGAATCAGTTTTTCCCCCCGGGTCCATTCTCTCTCGGCACGATTGTCGAAACGGTCGTTTAATTCGGCAACTGTTACGAGAGTGTTTTGAGTATACACCCGGGACGGGAGAAGCGTTACCACGCGAGTACGCGTCTCGTGAGGGCTTTTACGCGACGGTCATAGCGCGAATGTCGATGTTCCTTCTCGGCTATAAGAAGTAGTTAGAGCGTATCTTCAGCCAGACATTGGTTTGTTCTAGCTTCTCCTCGGCTCGACTCTCTCGCGCGATACTATTCAAATATTTTTCAATGTTCTCTCTCGTGAGAGTAATCGAATAAAAAACAGCTATCGTTGTCGAGTCAGGAATAGCTTTTAACGCAAAAACTTGTTATCATATCGCGAAAGAAAAACATGAATTTGAGCCTGCAAAAATATGACTAGGAATTGTTATTTCTTGATAAAATATGCTTGAATTAATTATAAAATATTTGATACGACTGGAACGTTTAAACTATTGCTGTAAAGCGAGTAGTTTTTGCAGTTTTTGAATATTTATACAACGTACGGAATATTTCTAGGGTCAAATTTTTTGTTATATATAGGGAGAAGCAGAGAAGTATGTTTGAATAAATCACGAAATTAATTTAAAATATACAACGGACATGGAATTTATATATTTAATAACAAAGTCGCGGAGCTTATATTCGAAATCTTGTTTATGCTGTTCTCTACTTTTTTATTATTTATTAGTATTGACTTTACTTTATACATAAAGCCGATATTTTATACGCTTAGATTATTGATTACTGTTTAACGGACAAGACAGATTATTGGATATAATGGAAAGAATTTAATTTAATACTTGAATTTAATAATTATTTTTCTCTTTTTTGCGAAAACGATATCCGCTCCTTCATTTTACATAATTCGTTCTTTCATTTTTTCATATTTACATCTTTTCGCGAAATATTGGTTGTCACGTCATCTGGTTTTTTACCGTTGAAATGTTTATTTACGATTGTTTATAAATATTTACGTGGGCGGCGTGCGCGTGTTTATGAATACGCGATTATGCATATAAATCAGTTAAATATTTTAATCGGTGCAGATTTGTTCGCGCACGCGAACAAACGATATTTCGCCTCTCTGTACGTTGTAATTCGATTGCGGTAGTTTTTAGGTCCATTGCAATGACGAAGCGCGCGCGCGCGCGCGCGCTCCATGGCGATGCTCCACGGAGATGCTCGACGTGCGCTGGCACGTTAGTGAATTTTCGCCGCACACAGGAAAGAGAGGCATAGGTTATTGATTATCGTGAATGGCTTTATAAATAACTGATCGTGTAGGAGCACCCGTCGGAGACGCGTAAATATCGCTCGGCGAGTAGTTCTTTAAAATCGCTACCGATACTGCCCCCGATGCTCCACGATATATGGTACCGCGTGGATGCTCTCGATCGAGAAACGCGTCGTTTATTGGAATCGCGCGATCGCGAAATATATTTGCCACATGCCCTTTCAAGATCAAAAAGATTGCCGTGTATTAACGGGGAATAAATGCCATACAAATCTTGTTCAAAATATGCAAATTAAATCGGATTGCGGGATTTATTTCTGCGAAATTGAATCTAATTTACAAAACTTAGAAATTTTCTAATATTTACATTTCCATCGGCTTGCAAACGAAGCATACCGAAGTGTATGATAAAATAATTTTGTAAGATATCGTAAATTCTCGTTTCCATTAAGCTTTATTAATAAACGGCTGTGTGATTTAAGCTAAATGTGTCCTACATGCGGCGAAAATGCTCTTTGCTAAATTTTCCATCTGTTTATTAATTCATGTATCAGAGAGAGGGTTTATATTAGGTGTTTTAAAATTCTACTTATGCATCCAGAAAGAAAACGCGTTTACTTTAATCTTGAGTACTCGCAACTCGTGCGTTCGCGTAAAAGGGTCACGTTGCGGTCTCGCTTCGCGTGTACTTGCGGCTGCCATGTCTCTTGATTAATGTATAAGAAAGGAGAAAATTGTAGAAAAACTATGAAAAATTTACAGCTTCTTACGTGAGTTAAGTTAATGACATTAGATTTTTCTACCAGGTTTTCGCAATAAATTCTATGAATTTTTCACTATTTATTCCTACGAGAGGGTCGGATATCGCGATCGATTAGCGGATGCTCTTTCAAATTGCTAAAGGTACTGATGCGCGATATATAGGGCGGCAGTAATAGATTGACCGGAAGCAAGTTGTCCATCGCACCTATGCGGGGCTCTCTTCTATATGGATAATACTTCTGGTGTGAGTACCAGTTAGAATAGTCGTTGATAAATGAAAATTACTGTGTATACCACGCGATAATGGCTCATTCATCGTCAAATCTAATATAAGTCTTTTCTCGAGATCGAAAATATTATTTGCTCCATTGTATTCCGCTTTCGTTAATAGATATCAATACGTTTGATCGTTTTCATTAATTTTTTTTATTAGTCCACACGTTTTGTGTTCAAGGACTTGAAAAAACTTTCACGTGAGAAAATTCATACATAATACACGAAGATTAATAAATGCGGAGCGGTAGGTATCCAGTATGTACGTGACTTCAGATAAAACGTAAATTTTGAAAAATCAACCTTATAGTTTCTGTATTTTTAAATTTAAATCACCCTGGACCGCGCATACTCCCGCTATCCGTCTCAAAATGAAAATGTCAAGGGTTACTTCCAGTAAAGAAAAATTTATATTCTTATATTGCTTTCTTTTTTGTGCACGGATTTGTTGTCATTGGAATATACAGAAATAAGTTTAATTTTAATATCGTCACATTGATGCATATGATTATTTATGTCATGTACTAAATTGAAACGTTCGATGCGATCCGAAATGATATATATACATTTTCGTTTATAAATACGACTACTCGATAAATGTTACCATTTTTTAAAATTCCGTAACGGATATCAATGAAGGAGCATTTTCGCTGATTGAAAATACTGTGAAATACGGCACGTAGCTGCCGTATCGCAATATTTAAAAAGGCGAGGAAAAGGCGAGTGATTATAATTAAAATTAATTGGGTGCCAAACCGCGCTCAACTTCTCTTACTTCGCGTTTGAGTGATTCTGATATTAAAAAGAAAATGAAGTTTTTGCGGAAAATAATTTTATGGAATATTGTTACGTCGAATTGTAAATTCTCGTTTGATGTAAACGATAGATATATTGGATAATAAAGTACGTATAATTAGAAATCCTGTCGTGTGGCTCAATTTGGTCGATTGATGTTTTAATAATCGTAGGTCAACGCTCGATTTTGCTTGTGCAGATTATTCGGTGACGTATTGAAACATTTGCTCTCTCCATAATGAAGAGAATTACATTTCTCGATAAACACCGAAATATTATTATTAACATATAGATTAATTTTATCTTCGATCTTTATTCAAAATAAATTTCTCGATACAATAACTTGAATTGCTATTATTTGATGTACAATAAAAATGTATTTTTTTTTTAATGTAATGAGAGTCCTTTTGGACGGACTTTTATCGTAAGAATTTTCGTCATATCGGGTGTCCGTCATTTGACTCTTTATGTGTGTCACACGAACCTTCAGCTTGTCCATTGTGGTAATGGACCTAGAATTGGTCTCTTTGACAGAACACTTTGCGGTGTCATGTCTCTGCTTCATCAGAGCAATTGACAAGGGACCCTAATTGTTCATTTAATTTCTCCACAAATTTTCTCCTATCTTCAAACGACCAGCTGTAATATTGTTTCGCTTATGACATAGTAATGGAAAGATATTTTTTTTAGAAAATGATCCTTTTTTATGTTCTTGACTTGAGCATAATTAAATGATAAAGAAGAGGAAGATGTTAGATCTTGAATAGCTTAGTATTTTTCAATCCGTTGGTAATTACGATTGATTAATGCAAATAAAGGATAACGTAGCAGTTTCTAGTAAATTATGTGTTACTGAAAGTATGAAATTTGCCTGAAAACCTATAAATTCAGTGGAAACTATTCACAGTTTGTTTCAGCAACTGTTACGTATGGTCGTGAAAGCATGCTCTCCATGGCTGCATCACAACTCTTTACTGTTTTAACTTCGTAATTTTGTTGAAATTCGTGCCCAAGCTAAATTCAGTGCGCAATTAAATTTATGTAAGTGAAATCTGCCACCAATAGGATATTTTCTAATTAATGTACTTGTCTACTTGTAATTAATTAATGTATATGTATACACATATGTCTACGAGTCGTTAGGGCATTAGGAATGATAATCATAATTATTTTGATTATATATTTTTATAGTTGGTACATACATATTTTACATACATATTGTTCATCAGATGTGTTACAACGCTGATCATTGGGGTATTGGAACGTGTTAAATGACCAGTAAATTCACAAAGCCCAAGCAGTTACGCGCAATTAACTGGAAGATCTAGAAACCCATATAGAGAAGCAGTTTGTCCACGCGACTGTTATGAATTTTTGCGGTAACATTAAGCATTGTTTGCAGCGATGTATTATCGCAGTTTATACAGATATCAGCAAAAGAGAGACACGATAATGACTATAGATACAAAGGGCTGTAAAAGTGCAAAAGAAGTTTGCGCAACGTATCCGCTTCTTTTATCATGCTGTAAAAGTGATAAAATCGAGAAAGAGGGAAGGGAGAGCTTTGTAACTAAGAGATCTATCGAAATTTGAAACGAGAATCTCTCGCTTTTCTCGCCGATTGTCCTTGTTCCGTGAAATCGCCCGCGCTTCGAGTTCTCAAGACACTGGCGGGTATACTTAAGGCGCTTACGAGCGATATCGTTAATATGAGGGAAAAGCTGCGACATTTTATGACATTGTAGTCTCTTGGTACACAAGTTGAATTATGGAAGTTCTCAACTTTTTTGTTCATCTTCCTCTAAATTTAATTTCTAGCGTTGTTAGCGCTTCATATCTTTATACTCTGTTATATATATCTATATATATATATATAATCATATAAAGGCTTATGTGTACGAGTATTTCGCGATGGTTAAGTGACCTGGTTCAGCTGAGATACTTGCACGTAACTTTATATGGTTTGGGACGAGGAGGAGATTATAATGTAATTTCGAATTTCACACAAAAGTTTAATTACCTATACGTACGCGCCGAAAATTTTTAAGATAAAACTCCCGCGGCTGAGTACACGAAGAATTGAAAGTAGCTACTTGTGTACAGCTATTTGTATAAATTATTATATTCGAATTTTGCGTTTTGAAACTTTGTGGCGTAACTGAAAGAATATCCGACTTCCGTGAATATGTAAAGTAATATCGCGCTTCATATAGTGAGCGGAGAATAACGTTGCACGTGGAGTCGCGCTTTTAAAAAGCCAGGTTTAATATTATGCGAGTATTTGTTATAATTAAAGTTGGAAAATGTATATATACCGGCAAGACGAAATTCGTTGGTATCGCGCTGGTAACGGCGAGAGAAGAAACAAAATATGCATACCTTATCTCATGGACGCTCTTGATTCGACTAGACCGGTTTGGAATTGAAATTTATGAAAACTACGAGGCTTTTAAGCAGCTGTTTATACCTCCGCAACCTTTGTGCGTGGATGATAGATCAGCGAAATAAGCTCCCTTAGAGCGAACAGCAATTTTCCTACGAGAAGGATCCATCAGCAAAATCTGGCAAGGAAAATACACGGATGGAGCATGGCTATATACGCAGCACGATAATATCCCGTCCAATTCTTCTTCTTATTGCGTAAAACTCGTTCCGTAAAGTAAAATATGAAATACATTCAACGACGCACAATGGCCGTATTGAGTTCCCTAGGAATGTCCTACTCTCCTGATTTATATATAGACTCAAACACATTTTTCATATTCTCGAATTTTTATTATACAACTACATTACTTCTAACAGAAATTGTAAAACGTGACGTAATATCGCGCTTCAATGCGATGAAGGAAAACGGAACGTCGAATTGACCCAAAGTTGGAGCTCTTTGTTGCAGAAGTGACATGTGTCGGATAACAAAATGATTAAAGACGTAACTTATCAGAATATTATAATTACTCTCTACTGTCAAACTAGCCGCGTAACGTGAAGCTATTAGAACGTGTGGCTATTTGAACCTGAAACAACTGAAAGCCGGCTATTTAGAAGTAATAGGGAAAGTGCTTAGCGTTCAAAACTATCTGACATTAAAATATTCTATATAGCGTTGAACTATTCACTGATACTTGTTTCGTGCATTATCTATTTGCCCTTCTCGTTTCGCGCATTCAAAATCTTATGCATCGTACTTTACATGAACAAACGAAGACTATTTCGATCATTTTACGCAGAGTGCTCGAGATCATAAATTTCAGTCAGGTCAATCGCCAGTCCGCTATCTCCTGCGTGCATTTTATACGAACAAATTCGATTGAGAGATGAATCCCGTAGGAATCGATATGCCAGTTCAGTGAGTAGCGAGTTCGAGATCCTGCTGGAATATTAAATAGGATACGAATTTAGGATAGGGACAACGTAGACATATATCTTTCCCCAGAAACGCCTCTCGTATTCGTATATCTTTTGCACGTTGTAACATTTTTTCTACTCAGTTTTCTTTCTTACGTCTACTTAATGCCTCTTCATTAATTTTCTTTCATATTTTAACTCGGCATTTTTTTCACTTGTAAAAAATCTCTCCCTGTAAGGGGATTTTCTAAAATAAAGTTTATACGTTACTTTTTGCTAAGACGACATATGAGTCGCGAATTAAATTTAAATCCGGACCCCCATCAAAAGCGTATCCTAGAACTTATTATCGAATAATACTCTGTGCGATATATATATTTTACCTCTCAGCCATACGCCACCTCATACTTTCCTCAGGAAGATTCGACATCTCTTATAAATGCGTTTCTACTTTTGTCGAGTTTCAGCGTCGAAATTTCATTTTGCGATAGAAACTTGGCAGTGACATCCCGTGTCACCCGATTTAAATCTCTCTTTTGTTTTCTCGATCCTCATGCGCGCAGACGTTTGTCCTCCTTCCGGAAAATCGAACATTTTCCAAAGTGGAAGTTTGCTATACAGACGGAATACGTAGAACGTGCCGCAACGTCGATTTAACCCCTTAGCCGCTAAAAGCGACTATTGTTACTCGCAGAGCAATCCTTCTTGTGTATCCAAGAGCAACTATATAGCAGCTATATATATAGTTCCGCAAATCGCAGCGATAATGTCACGCAGTGCTACACAGTAATGGCTACAACATATTCGCTCTGTTATTTTAATGGAGAACTCAGAGTACTGAGAGAGTACGCAATCTTCATTTGCTTTATAATCTTTCTTGCATTACTTTATTAAGTTATAATACCGTGAATATGTTAGCATAAATAAGATCAATTTAGCACGCTAGCATGATGGATGACACTTCATTTATATTTTCAGAAACTAAATTTTCATTTCTTATCTGAGCATCATTATCACTTTTTTCTGATTATATACTGTAAAAATTAATGCATAAACAAGAAAGTAATTTCTTTGTTAATAGGAAAAAAATGCTAGCGAGCTTTACAAATATGATGGATGTGCTGTACAATTCGTGGTTAAAAGACGCACATGTACTTCTACGATATTCTTACATTGTTCTCTAGTATCGTTTTCTTTGTTTAACCTACTCGAATTTCCGGGCACGAAACTTTCCTCTTACGTTTTATAACCGTAAGTATATACAGGGATATAAACGGTTTTACTGTCCGCAAGATCCATACGGAACTTTCATCACTCTGCGTTCCCGAGGAATTTGCAAAACAGGGTGTATGTATATTTAATCAGTCTACTCTATTTGTCATGTTTGCTTTTACAATATAAATTTCCTATTGCCAAGAATTTCTGTTGCAAATGCGAACTGTACATATACGAGCAGATCTTTATGCACATTCTTCCGAAACTGGGTTAAGTCTCGAATTAAATTTCCCCTTACCGCGGTAAAATCCTCTTCGTCCACGAGGGGGGAGGGGGAGGGGAAAATCGGGCAAACTTTTCGCTGCAGCATTTGCCGTGTATTTACGCGTTCCATTTTATTGCGTCCGCGCAAAAGTATTACGGTAACTCTATTTTTATTTGTCACATATAAACACGGGACATGGCGATAATATGAAAATCAGTGATGCGCGATACAACAAGGTATATGGAGGGTGTCATAAAATATTAGTTCTCGTATATTTGTATGCAATTTAGATTCTGGTTATCGATGGAAAAGAAGGATTCGCTGTACATATTAATAAGGGCAGAGCGGTGCAGAGTATACCCATGAGAAGTCAATTCAATTACAATCTCATTTCGATGAATTTATAAGAAAAGTTTCACAGTATAAATAATTCTGTCTCCCTGTTGCAGATGGTGTAACCCGAGGGAACCGATGACCGATTCGATTCACGATCCTTACTGAAATCAGCCGATCGATCGTCGATCGCCGTAAGCGGGGCAGGATCAAGATGTGACGCGCAATGTATCTTTGACGGTTTCGCATTAAAGACCAGAGTGCATAGCGCTGGACTTAATAAGTAAGTGCTTTGCCATTTGGAGAGATTGCATAACAAATCACAGTCGAAGGATATCTCGAGAACGACGAAGACAATTCGTCAGTTAAGAATTAAGGCCACGACTTTGCCCGGAAAATCCAATTATTTTAAAGTACTTTGACGGAAACTTTCTCTCAGTTTTTGACTTACTTCTGAAACCCCGATTGCCCTTTGATTTTTTCTGCAGTGAATACATTGTTAACTGTGATTTTATTGTGTCACCATTCTCCATAGTTTGATCGTATGGCTAACAATGACCAAGATTATTTTATCTATCAGTGAAATTTTATCTATCAGTGAAAGTTTATTATTTCCACGATTTGAATTCGGCATGCATTGCAGTTTAATTACGGAATACGGAGGATAGTCTGCTCAACGTGTCATCTAGTTACAAATATATTTTAAATATTGCCGCTACAAATACTGCCGCTGTCACGTATATATGAATCGAAAATTAAATAAATTTTTAATTGCGCAAACGACGTGACCTGATTCGTGATTAATGTCAGAATAGGCTCCAAATATTCGACAAGTGCCCTTTCGCGTTCATGTCAATTGCGCCTCATCGATTGCTATTGAGAGACAGAGGTACGGCATTCCGCTGTTAATACTCCACACTCGAAACATTACGAGTTAGCGTTTGATTTACTAATGAAGTGAACGTACCACGCTAATATGCCGCGCGTATAATTCTAATTCTATTATCCATTTATTATTGTCTCATGTTAAACTTGCGAAATCAATAGTCCTTTGTCATTGCGCGAATACGCCCTCGCGTCCCTCATAGCAAAATATTACGTGCGTACCGCTCAAGTGCGCTCGAAATACGAGAAAAGTAACTTTTTCGCGGATAATTATTATTTTACGCTTGCTAGAAAATAAACATTAAAACCAGAGCGTTAATTATTCAATATTGAACGTCCAAAGAAATACACGCGCTTTGTATTTCACTTTATTAAATAAAAATTTTTTCATAAATATAAATTTTGAATAAAAAATATACTGAAAATAATAAAGATATATTTTTTAAGAATAAAAAGAGAAAGTTTATTTTTAATTCCAACGAAATTACTATTTATGGTGTGTGATTTAGTAGCGTAATCAATAGGACGGAACAACAATGTAACACGATACACAATATAACTATACACAAAATGTTATTTAAACTGGGGTTTGGAATTGGAATCGATTGTACTTCCCGTTCTAATCAAAACTCGGAAACAACTGTGAGTTACTGCAGTTGACGCACTTTAATTAGGATATTCTAGTTATAAGCTTGAGCAAACTGAAATTCTATAAGGGAGCTACACCATCTAACAAATTAAGCGAATCGACAATATTTCTCTTTATATTAAGTATTTTCATCTCGATGTTTCCGATTTTCTGTTTATTACCGCGTGGTAAATTTCAAACTGCCGAAAGTTTAAGCGAGTTAAATATGCTGCGGTGAGGTCGGAACGTCTTGTATGTATGTATTATAGGATGTATAGAATCTCTCTCGCGCGCGTTTCAAGCGGTTACTTCGTAGGATTTTCTATCGTTTTACAAAGATGCATTCCGGCGAAACAATGCGCGTACTCGATTAAAAAATGTAGCGGAAATATGCGTAACTGGTGTTTGAGAATACAAGATGGTTTAACGTTCACCCTTGTACTCGTGTGCAACAACGCATAAGGACGTGGTCGCCGACGTCATGTAACGCTATACCATATATCACGCTACAGCACGTGAAATAGAATTTATCGATTACGAAATTTATCTCACGTGACGCGATACCGACGAAAAATATGCAGCCTCGTTCAGTCCACGCCTCACAGAATTTTAAGGACGGCAATTTCTCTCTCTCTCTCTCTCTCTCTCTCTCTCTCTGTGTGTGTGTGTGTGTGTGTGTGTGTGTATGTAGGTGTGTGTGTGGGTGGGATGGGTGTGTTCGGTAGACGCGGGCGACGGGCTGCCTTTAACCGACTCTACCCTGAAAATTTCAGCATCCGGAGAGTGAAACGCGTTCGCGCGACGTTTTAGGAAAATTTCGACGCTGGTACAAATTTTTCCTAAATGGCGATCCTGTATGGTTCGGGCTAGTAATTCAGTTGAAGGTGCGAAACCCCGTCGGCGATGGAGTTGTAATCGAATTGTTTGGGGCGACGCGTTCAGTCATGGACGCTGTCGGCGGTGCGAGCTCTAACTTTGTTCCTCTTTTTTTCTTCTTTTTTTTCCTTTTTTTTTTTACGAAAACTTGTAATGTGCAGTCGAGCGAATTTCACTGGTGAACTGTCACGCGCAGAATTACGTGCTTTTCGCAGCTTGAAGTACTCGCGGCAAAATAGTCCGTATTATCTGTAAAGTCTTCGAAAACTTCGCGCATCCGCCGGGGACGTTTTGGTCGCGTGATTAATAAGTTTTGCGCAATTTTAAATATTATGAGATTTTAATGTTACGCGGCGCGATTTCTTGGGGATAAGCGCGTTGCATGTACAAAGGATAAATTCGTGCGCATTGAATATTACCATATGTTATTATAATAACTCCGTTGGATTTAAGATTTAATAAGTGATCAATTGCGTATCGTATTTCGCGGGTAATGCAATACTATTGACTAAAATCAGCCGATCGTCTGCTCTTCTTACATGGGAATCGCCATCGGAATGGAGAACACGCTTTTACATCAATCGATGAAACTGGATAAGCTTACAAAGCCGATCTCGAACGATGTTACGTACCATGAAAGTTCCGCGATTGCTTTAATCAAACACGACTCGATACGCCGCTTTGGTTGCAAATAGCCAGACTGGGATATTTCACCGGCTGATTCCTGAGAGCTCCTACGGGTAATCCCACTGTGATTTTTCTAACGATTATCTCCTGACTGCGATATGATTCTTTCTTTTTTTTATCGCGTTTTGCGGCTCGCTGATTCGTCAGGACGGCTATTAAAAGCGTTCGTCTCCTGTTCGAAAAGCACTCCCCTGAATCGCGGTGCTTTCGTCCCCTTTCGGCATTAACTAAATCAATATTTACCTCGTAGGCGTACATGTGTAATAACGAAGTTTGACAGTTCCCTCGCGCTTCAAATTGGTCGGCGCATAGAAGCCGAGAGAGGGGGCAGTCAGAGAAATGAGAGAAATGAGAGAAAAAGAGAGAGAGAGAGAGAGAGAGAGAGGGAGGGAGAGAGAGACTCCGAGTACTCTCGGATGATGAAGTACCCGACGGTTTTGACACGACAAACGGCAAACAGAACGGAGTTACTACGAGGGAGCGGTGTTTTCCCGGATTTCCAAGTGGTAATTACACGGAAGTGAGAGAACGTGAAAAATGTTATTCCGCGCGACCCGTTTCGCGTCGCGATCGCTATCTCTCCGAGGGAAAGAAAGAATCTGGATTTAAGCAACCCGCCTCTTTCGGTTCGATACCGAGAAAAAGGCGTCTTTAACGATTCGGTACGACTCACGAGTTCTGTGAGAATGCGGAATCGTGCTTTACCGTCTCATACGTTCGTCGCGTTGACCGTTTCACAGTGAGAATATATATATACCGTGTATCGTTAAACCCTGTATTTTTATTGGCGACGCGACGTTTCTCGTGCCGGGAGCGTGACAAAAGCCGGGCTGCTTGCCGAACACTCGGAGCACGAAAATGGAAACATTTTCCGCGCTTTCAGACCTACCGCAGGCTCTCGTGCAGAAAATAATACCTCGTGCGTGCGGTCGAATATACATAAGTGCCGCGCGCAATCTGCGACCCGATAATTTATGGCCTAAAGAAAAACCACCGTTGGATATGCTTGATGTTGCGATTTATTAGGGATATTAACGATTTTACCTATTCTTACATTTTCAGACCTAGCTGTACGATCGGGGTTTCCGTAAATATGCATGTGAATAATGATGATTACTTAACCCTACGGCTGCGGGTTCGTTTATTTTAGCAGCAAAAACGCTGTTACAAAAATTGAGGCATTACCTCCGCTTAAATAAATTGAACGATAAATCTACAAGAATTACTGATCAGTGATGAAAAACTTAAATTCTCTGTGAATAAAAGTGTTAGCGAGTTAGAAAAAATAGAACGGGAAGGACAAGTTTAAAATGTTGTTAAATATTTCTTTTGTTTTGATCGTCGCTAAACATATGTTTCAAACTTACTTTGATCTGCAATCACGAGTGATTCGGCGACGAAAAAATTGCGAACTTTTCGAAACTTTTGATGCGCTTTCGCTTACATACACATAAATACGTACACGCGCGAGAAACACACATATCTCTCTTTAGCAGTTTGATAAGATTTCTATCTGGCTAAACTCAATTCGTAGATCAACGTTATTGCCAGTCGAAAAGTTGACTGAAATAAGCGAATTGGATTGGCGAATGCCAACCGATTTCCGCAGTCGTGGAAGAACTCGCGAAAGAAACGCGAAGGCTGTATTAATTTTCGTTTGAAACGACCTTTCAAACGTATACTTTACTCGATCGTATTACTCGAAACGTTTCGTGAAGTACAACTGTTATTTTGTACAGAATTTATATCTCACATATCGAACGTTGCTTAAATGTCATTCGAGCTGTATAAACGTATTCGTTCGCTGGACATTTGATTCCGAAGTCAGATTGACTTTTGTATATTTAAACCCCCCGATTCAACCGACTGTATTAAACTATAACTTTTCAGTATCAGAATTTTGTGAGTTCGTGTTACAATTTACAAATACTGGTACGTTTGTTGAAACGGGAACAAAAGGGAAGAAGGAGATGGTACGGGAAAAGAATTGATTTATCAACGATAGCTGCGTGATACTGAACGATCTGACTTGCAGAGGGTATCCTGGACGACATGAACTCGAGCGGAGAACCCGGCGGAACGATGTCGGACGATTATGAAGTCGGAGGTTGCAGCGTCCCGGAAGAGGAGACGGGCTCGAATCTGCCGACATGGGAGGCGGTGGCAGCTACGCTTACTTTGGGCTTCCTCGTGCTGGCGACGGTGTTCGGTAATGCGCTGGTTATCCTGAGCGTGTTCACGTACCGGCCGCTCCGGATCGTCCAGAACTTCTTCATCGTCTCGCTGGCGGTGGCCGATCTCGCGGTGGCGATACTCGTGATGCCATTCAACGTAGCCTACCTGCTGCTAGGCAAGTGGATCTTCGGCATCCACCTGTGCAAGCTGTGGCTGACGTGCGACGTGCTCTGTTGCACCGCTAGTATCCTCAATTTATGCGCCATCGCGCTGGACCGTTACTGGGCGATCACCGATCCTATCAATTACGCTCAGAAACGCACCCTCAAGCGAGTCCTCGGAACGATCGCCGGCGTATGGATTCTTTCGGGTGCGATCAGTTCGCCGCCGTTGGCCGGGTGGAACGACTGGCCGGAGGAATTGGAACCAGGCACGCCCTGTCAGCTCACCAGACGGCAGGGCTACGTCATATACTCGTCTCTGGGTTCGTTTTTCATCCCGTTGCTGTTGATGAGCCTGGTTTACCTGGAGATCTTTTTGGCGACGCGCAGGAGGCTACGGGAACGGGCCCGACAGAGCAGGCTGGGCCCGGTGCAGTCCACCAGGCACCGCGAGACCGACGACGCCGAGGAGTCGGTCAGCTCGGAGACGAATCACAATGAGCGTTCGACGCCTCGTCTGCAGGCGAAGCCGTCGCTGATCGACGACGAGCCGACCGAAGTGACGATAGGTGACAATGAACGTACCCCCGGTCGTACCAGCGCGTCCACTAGACGAGGTGGCGGCGACGCCATCCCCGTCACTTCGACCGTCTACCAGTTCATCGAGGAGCGACAGCGGATCTCGTTATCCAAGGAGAGACGCGCGGCGAGGACTCTGGGCGTCATCATGGGCGTCTTCGTCGTCTGTTGGCTGCCGTTCTTCCTCATGTACGTTATTGTGCCGTTCTGCCCGGCCTGCTGCCCGTCTGAGAGGATGGTGTACTTCATCACGTGGCTCGGCTACGTCAACAGCGCTCTCAACCCCCTCATCTACACGATCTTCAATCTCGATTATAGAAGAGCGTTTAGGCGGCTGCTGCGAATCCGCTGAACCCCCGCGGCCGTCACGTTAGGCCCCTTGGGCTTTGGCAGACGAGGGGGATCCTCGTGATTCCGTTCGACGTCCGGCCGTCCGAATCTCTCTCGCCGATCGCGAGCCACGCGGAATCTCGCGGCGACCGGGTATAACAGCCCCTGCGCCACGATTTCTATACTCACGGGATTTCCGTCTGCTAGCCAACGGGAGTCGTTAAGTAAGTTCTTCGTCCAGGAAAAAGCGCGTTGCTCGTTGTATCTCGCGTCGGGATGGCAATATGTCGTAATTAACGGAAATTTAGACGTCTCGCTCACCCCGATCGCTTGTTCGCGCGCAGCTCGTTATGGTAAACGCGGTGAAAACTTGACGCAGTCAGCACAGAGACGACGATGACGACAAGTTACGAAACGGCGAAGCGTCGCGGAGCGAGAACTCAGAACAAGTAAGTTACCAGCAAATTCGCAGTGCGTAAAACGGTTATTACCGTTTTACGCCAAGTTACGAACCAATCAAAACTTGATTATTTATATTTTCGACTACTGCGTTTAACTAAGATACCAATCCTGTTAGCGCGAACAATTACGTTAAACAATTATCTGACGTGTAGCGATGAAGAAGAGACGGCTATAATTCCCAACCGACGAAATAAGTAACGCACTGTTGTTTACGTCGAAGTAGAAAGAAACGTGCGTAAATTTTATTAGGCGGAAATTTCGAGGTCGTAAACAGACATAAAGGGGGAGAAGATTAAAGATTAAAGATCGTTCGCGCGAAACTTATTAGAATTGGTTATAGAATCAATCTCTCTCTATCCCTATATAATGCTCGGTTCCTAAATCAAACATTTACAAAGTTTTTGAATTATTACGCGACTTTGAAGGTAAATTCGTTTTTATGAGGCGAAAACTTGAACGCCACAAGAATCTCGAAAATTTCCTTCAACTGGTATAACGGATTGCCGTGACTCCGAAAGAGCCCGAAGAGCGATGTGCACTTACCGTCGGAACTTGCCTGAAAATTTATCAGGCTTCCCGAGAAGATGTTGAGATAATGGATACGGTCTCATCCGGGAGATGCACAAAGGCAATCTCAATCAAGATTGGCAGACTGGCCAGGCCAGCGCTGATTCGGTCCTGAAGAGCTTTCAAGGGCGAAAGTTGAAGGGAAACTATCCGCGGGAGTGATAAAGGAAATTATGCTTCCTGTACTGGCTGGCGACTAGCTTCCTCGAATATAATTATATAAAGCTTTGTGTCAGAGCTCCGTATGAATTTTCTCCCTTCCATGGTTTCGATGATCAATCTAGCCGCGCTGGAAGATGATTAATGATTAAATTTCGCGCCCGAGAGTGTGTAAATGCGATTTATCATTAGATCAATAACGCTCGATACCGGATTGTAATGGAATCGAGGTCATCGGGGGAGGTCTCGCGAGAAGCCACCGTCGTTCCTCTCCTCGTCGCGCACAGTTTTCGTCTCCCAGAACTGCACGGGGGAGCAAAAGATACGTCTCGGTAGAATGTCGAGTAACATGTCTGTCGGTTCGGCGAACGCGCGTCGTGGTGAAAGAAGGGAACGTGCTTTTCTTCTACCAACGACACAACGGAGAAACAATCGTACGTGCGTTTTATGTAGGTAGACCCGGTTGACGTGCGTACGTCCACCGAACGTTAACAATTGCAAGTATTACGGTTGTGAATAATAATTAATACTAAACCCATGAGCCTTGGTCGCGGGGCACGTAGCGTAAGGAAACAGCGTAATAGGCATTCATTCGTCATCAGCCGAGGTGGTCGTTTATTCGAGGCGTGACGTTAACAACGCCGACCCGCAAAATCTCTGCGGTTTCACGACGCGCGCGGTCGCGGCCGCGCCTCGCATGAAATCACACTTTAAACCGCCTCTCGACGTATTCACGTTGACACGCGATTATATCGTCACGTACCGCTACAAAAGTTTCCCGGAATCACCGCTATTTATTATAATGACGGTTCTCTTAGCTTATTAACATACGGTTTTTCCTTAGAACTCGGACGGCAGACCATCCATTTATTCCAACTTTTTAATATCCAACTTTCGTGACCCTATATATAATGGCAGCATCATGATTTACAATTCTTCATCTTAACTCGTTAATCAAACACGTTTCGGTCATAAATAATAGAATAAGCTCTCGTCATTCATTTATTTCTTTTCACCAGAAGCTTAAACTTTTGTTGACAAACTTTTCGTCGTTCCACGGCAAGTATCAAACAGGAATTATAACGTATTTTCATTGAAAATTCTTCAAATGGATACAGGATCGGGGAAATGATTTCTGATTGTCGCAAACTTTTCGCTATTAAGAGTGATTTCGAAGAACACGGTTCTCCAGTAAATATCTATTTTTGCGTCTCTCTGTTGTCGATCAATGAGGCACGTATCGGTGATTACGGGATACCGAATAGATCTGCGTGCACGCACACACACACACGTACACACATACACACGTACATTCATATATCTCGACATACGCGAAGTATTATTTATATGACCACAATAAAATTTAAAGTATCTTTAAGGGTAAAAACGAGGGAACAGGCGGCGAGAAACCGCCATCTCCTCGAGTGCCGCGCCAAACGGACAGATTGTTGAGGTAAACCTTAGGTAAGAAGGGCGAAGAAAATAGATCGGACGATCATATGACTCGGTGGTATAAAGCTCGTCACCAGGGCACTCTATAATAAGGTTGTGATAAGGTTGTGAGAACACGTTCGTAGCCGTGCTACGAACGACATAAGATTTTTAATTACTAACAGATAGGGAACATTTCTTTACTCGAGTTATACTCTTCAATGCAGTGTTGCCTCCTGCCCAAGAGGAAGAAAGGGAGCGAAAGAAAGAGAATCAACGCTACGACGTTCCGATCGTCTTTAAAAAGTATATCGTATAGTTTCTTTTTTCTTTTATTCCTTCTTTTCTTTTTTCTTTTTTTCTTTTTTTCTTTTCTTCGTAACCTTGCCAAAACGCTACAGGTAGTTCCGAACTTGCAAACTTGGCTGCGATGGGTTGTTATACAAACGGGATTACGTTTTCACCGAAGCTATCGCATGAATTTTATTTCCGTGAAAAAACTCATGCCTAAACGCTGGCACTCGTTTCGCACTATTTTTTTATTTAGATGAAATTTCCGCGGTGACCTTTGATGCATATAATATCTCGCGTGGAAATTTGATCATTCGATTCGATTCTTTTGCGAACGCGTATATTTGAAATAGTATACAGAAAAAATTTTATCGGTGTAAAGCCAAAACGAATTGATATTTTTTCTACTATTCTTTTTTCTTTTTTTTTACGTATATATGTATTATATATAGAAATAAAATTTATTATTTGAACTTGAAAGATTTTTTTTCCTTCGTATTACTTTCGCGAAGATATTAATAAGTGCCAAAATAACATATTTATCACGTTTTGTGACTCGGTAGAAAAAGATATAAAGTTTATTAAAACATTTTTTCCCTCTGCATTATCCCCGATCTCTCTTCTCGTATTGTTCATCTTCCTCACATTATCTCGTTGCGTGAGGTAGCGTTGTATTCTTCGGATACCGATATCTTGGGTAGGAATCTCAAAATGCGTAGTTTATGATATTATATTATATATTGTATATTATATCGCGTATTATATTAATATACGTATCAGCAGTGCAATTCTCGCATGAGTGTTTCGCGAATCGGTACGCAGCTTCTTTCAATATCCTCTCTTGAAATTTAAGTCGAGTGATTTCTCTCTCATTTTTTAAATGTCAGGGTCGTTAAATATAATATATATTGTAGATGCTGCGAAGCGATTCACGATGCGCGAGAATTTCACGTCGTGATCGAGCCTGGTCGCTCGATACAAACAATACAGTTCTAGATACGTATAATAAATAAAAAAAAGATACATATATATATATATATATATATATATATATATATATATATATATGTACATATATATATGTACACACACACCTAGTTGATAAACTGATACTCGGCTGGTTGTGATTTACAAGTATAGCAATACAGCGATACTCGTTTTTGTGCGTGGTAACTTATTGCCGGCGGAGCTTTTCTCTTTTCCAGTTCAGAGAGTTATTTTTCGCACAATTCGAACTTCTTCCATGTCTGCGAATCTAGAAATAATTTTTTTTTCAAAGAAAATTCAAAATATAAATTCTCATCCGATGGATGAAAACAATATATATCCATTCCACGGTCGTCGCGCTCGTGGATATGATCTCTGACGATCTTGTCGCATCCGTTGTCGATAAGTAATTTTTTAATATACTATTAATATTTTAAAAATATTCGTAGACATATCAAGACTTTTCTCATAAGAGTGAAAAATTCAAATCATTCATCATATCTATATGTTGTGTATTTTGCATCGTGTATTTTTACGTTCGGAAAAATATAGGTGATGCATACGCAAAAAGGGAAATCATACGTTGTACCATAAAGCGCGAGAAAAAACGTGACGCCACGCTCGCGTGAGAGAAATGTTTTCGAATTCAAACGAAAATTGAAAATAGCATGGTTACAATATAACCTAGGATGGCATAGAAATAAATAATATCTAGTGGGATATAACGTGCTTGCCATTTTATAAAACGCGTTCGTCGTCTAGATGTTGGATTTAGTGAAAATTGATATCAATTGAATCGTCACGTCATTTTCGATTTAGTATCGTTGTTATCATCATTTCACAAGTACAAAATCCAGAAACGTGCGAATTCTACAAGGATTTTTCATAAGAGTTTTTTTATCGAGAAAATTATTCTAGTAATAGATAAAAGAAAATTGTTTGTATATAACGAACAGTATTATAAAACTTAATTTGTAACTATAAATTAAGCAAATCGTTAAATTTGCAGCTTACGTTTTACACAAAGAAGTTCCCTAAAATATTTTCTATTAGCGCGTATAATTTTCATTTCTCGAAATGGATGTGGCGAAATAGTTCAAAGCTTTCGCGAATCATGTTTGTATATATAAATCTGCCTTTTTGTGTTACGGCGCTCGTTCTATAGATTTATACATACGTTTCAAATATATAGTTATTTCTACGAGTATTTCAGTGTGGAATGGATGTAACATATTTATTTGATCTTGTAATCTGTCTCTTGTAAAAGACACATGCGGGAGGGTTGTAATGCAAGCGCGAGGCGAATTTGTATGTTGCAACATTATGAAATTTCTGCGTTACAAGATATTCGAAATAAGGGAAGAAATTTGAGAGAAGCTCCGCTCGCATCTCTGGAATGTGCAGATCGAATGAGCGTTCATGTGAACCTGCCTGCCGCTCGGATGTGTGCATGCAAAATCAATTAATGAACAGGACAGGCATACTGACGTGCGTGTATGCATGTAGTAAGTAACCGGTGTGCGAGTAATGAGTGCGTTGAATCGATGGACGATTATGTATCTAATTATGTATCTACACCACGATGATGTTGGTAACAGGAAAACATTTATTTCGATTGACGACATTTATGACGGATGCACGGAGTAGCGTGAAATCTCTGTGTAAATGCCGAAATAAAATCGTTTAGAAAAATACGTACGCGACTCACGAATTTCAGTCGATATTATATGTAACACTTACGAATCTTGATAATCAACTTCCGGCCATACTTACATAGCAGAATTGATATTAACATGCGCGATTGACCCAATAATTTTTTTAATCGTAATTCTTATTACGCGTTCTTTACTACCGAAATATATGTTACCAATTAAATTACCAATACGTATTAATTCTTGGATAGGTGCGTGGCGTATGGTAAAAACTCGTCGTTAATTTAAAAAAAAAAATATGTGTGAGATGAATGTACGAATATCAATGAAATATTGAAAATAAACAATGTTGTACGGTGTTATGAATTTTACGCAATGTTCACTGTGGATTTCTCCAGAATTTTGTGCGCCTGTTTGTGCGATCGAATAATAGAAAGAGAAAAATAAAAGAATATATATACATGTGAGTACGATATATTTTATTGTTAATTTGCTTAAGCAAATATATTTTTTTTTGTTAGTTTGCAAACTTGGTTTATCTCGCATCTCCTTTTTATGTAACGGCTCATAAACATAATAAGTTATTCTATTGAGATGGTTTTTTCCGCGTTCTAAAATATCCCGTATCGCGCATAATGTAAATTTGGGCTGACGATTCGGCGGCATTTGCTATTTTTTTACGGCAGGTTATACAATGCAAAGTTATATATATATTTTGCGTGATGCATTGCACGCGACGCTGAAAACGCCAACGAAATCGTCTGTGCCGTGTCTCGCGGTTGCATTGTTACAAGAGCCAAGAGCTTCGTGCATTGTTCGTGTTACGTGGTAATTCCCTCTATATGATATAACCCAAATACTAAAATAACAGTCCGGACAGAAAACGTAATAGGCCCTTTTTATAAAACACTCGGACTAAAAAAATTAATTTACACAACGTAAAAATGAACGAAACACCTTAGTAACTGCACCAACTAGTTAATATAAAATGGATTCGACCAAGAGCGATCTTTTATAACGTGCTATGAAAGATTTTTTTTTACATATTTTACACGAGTTATGATATAAATAATGTAATGTAAAACTTATTATTTTTATTTGTCACACATTTAATCGTTTTTTAATCGTTATTTATAATTCTATTGAAATAAAACATTTTGACTATTCGAACGAATGGTTAACGATAAATCCGTTTAAATTTTTAAGCACGCGGAATCATAATAAATATATCTCTTTATTTTACCTCATAATTTTTCTACAAGTCCTTTTAAGTAAGTACACCACCTGAATGTTATGGAACATCGATATCCTCAATAGACCGGAAAGTATGGTTGAAAGGATAAGAGCATTGGATATATCGTAACCGTAAATTTCGGTGAAATAGAAAATAGTAAGGATATACGAATATTACGATTTTACACATTGCGTGTATATACAAATGTTAAATTGAGTGTGATGATTAAGGGTGATGAATTCCCTATCGCACTGTCGCTCGTGTAATCCTGGGAGATACTTTGGGTTGATGAAACGACCCCATACATGAGAATACATGCGCTCGTATGATTCGACAATCTGGTTGGTTTCATCGGGCAAGCGTGCACGCAAGTATTTTCGTATGCATGAATGAACAAGTCGAGCGATGCTTATCGTCGCGCTAATAATTTTCTCTGGAGAAGTATAAAGCGCGTCGTTTCGACCGAGCGCTCGACTGGCACACACGTAAGAATCCACGAAGAATTTTACAATTAAATAAAGCAGGCTTCCACCGCGCGGTAGACGACGCACGAGTGCTCCACACAAAGTATTACCGTGAACTCGTGAAACGTTCATTTACAGGCTCCGCGGACACGCGAGCACCGCAGCATACAAATCAATGCCGAAACCCGGGCGTTTTCCGTTACCTCCAATCGTTTCCTCGTGCAATCTCGCGTAGCGCAGTCTCCGAAAAGACCGCGTATATCTTTTGCGTAAACGTGAAAGCAGCGTCGCGAGACCGATTACGCCTGATTGTATTTCGTTGTACGCTGCACTTCGAAAAAGGAAGCTTGCACGCAAATTTCGCCACGGCCGGCCACATTTTCGTCACCTCCGACGATTTTATTATGGATAAATGCGCTTTCATCGATCGGATAATTGCTCCGGCAATTTTCTTTAATGGATTTCCGCTTGTTCGTTATATCAGGAGCGACCGAAGTACTCGGGGCAAGGTGGAAATTATCGCGATTACTTTCTGAATGTGAAATGAAAGGCGTCTCGAAATAAAACGTCTTACGTGGATTTCATCTTATGTCTATATGCGTGCGCTGGTACCTCATTTTTTATAATAATTGAGATAAATGTTGGCTATAGTAAAGTATATAAATCTACTATTTATGGATAATAAGTGCTCTTTATAACGCGATAAATATCAAGTGTGATACTTTTAATGAATTATTTAATTTTGGTTGAAATAACGTTTTTTAATGAATAAAAAGAAAAATGCCGTAGCTCGACGACATAATGGCATTCTGGACATAATGGATTCTGTAGAATTGCCCGAACCATGCAAATTATGAAATATCCGGAGCTCCGAGTCGTTGGCCGAGTCTAATATTGAATGCTTAATATTCACGACAGCACCCTTTATCTCATCGTACTAGAAACTTTCAAGTGAAGCGTAAAGCCCACTCTATTGCTGCCCCGCAGGAAAAGTTCAGCGCTAAAACACGCCGGCTTTTCATTTACGCCGATTAGAGCGATTTATGGATCCTCGTGTGCAGTCGTCTTGCGTGCAATATTCTCGTTTCTCCAT